TTGCACCCCCCAGTATCTGCACATCATCTTTTGCACATCTATCATTCCAGTGTTAATACTAATTGTAATTATTTTGCACTATGGCCTATTTATTGCCTTACCTCCATAACTTGCTACATTTGCACACACTGTATATATATTTTTTGTGGTATTTTTTACTTTAAGTTTTGTTTTACCCCACATGTAACTCTGTGTTGTTGTTTTAATCGCACTGCTTTGCTTTATCTTGGCCAGGTCGCAGTTGTAAATGAGAACTTGTTCTCAACTGGCTTACCTGGTTAAATAAAGGTGAAAAAATAGTAATAATAATAATAATAATAATAATTCGAACGTTTTTCTTCATGATGCAGTATAACATAAATGGAGTGGTATTGTAAAAAATAAATGAATGCATCAATCCTACGACGTACATTAAATAGTTGGTTGTTCACCACCCCGTCTTTGCAGTAGGTGGAGCTACAACATGTTCTCCAGTCAGCAAGACTGAAAGATTGTTGCACAGAGAAATTCAACTCTGCCTGTTCTGTGTTAGTCTTTTTGATACTGTGTCTATCAGCTATGTTGCTGCTTTCATCATTTCTCCTCCTCTCAGTCCTTGTTGGTGAGTGCTTTTTTCAATTTGACAGTTTTAATTCCAACTCCAGAATATATTTGATAGTTGTCAAAAACGGTATAAAAAATAGCAACATGTTTTTCCCTTTCTGACAGGCGGTAGTTTTGAAGATGACATTAATCCCGGTAGGTCTATGGTAGGTGGTGTGGACGGTGATACCGCCACGCTATCCTGCAGCTACATTGGCTCTGTAGACAATCTACAGTGGTATCATCAGTATCCTAGGTCTAAACCAGAGTTCCTGATTCTCCTCACCAAATCAGGATATGTCCAGAAAACTGTCCCTTCTCGCATCTCAGCTCAGGTTCATACCGACAGTGTGGTCTGGAGATCTCCTCTGCTGAAGTGACAGACTGCTCGTCCTTGCTCAACTTTTTCATTCAACTTTTTCACCACGGACGCTTTATCTGGACATGGTTCTACAGGACCTCCACCAGCCAAAAAAGCTAAGTAGTAACATTAACTTTATGCCCTCTAGTTGCAGTCGCTGTACTCATAAAATGCAGGAGAACAGTTGTCTTATGGTGAGGATAGCCGAGTTACAATCCCAGCTTCAGACACAATCATTAGGCAAAGGATGAAACAGTGTCTGTGCCACCAGTTAGTGCAGATAGTAGTATTATCCCCCCCGCACAGTCCCAGCAGCCTGACAATTTTCTCAAACTTTCAACTGGTTTTCCTCATTAAGCAATGAGTCGGAGTCAAAGGCCGTGCCTTCTCAGGTCTCTCCTACACCTGTTACGGGGTCTGAGCCGCCGAAGCCTCCCACTATTAGCTCCGAAAAATTGAAATCCTTAGCGACTCCATTACCCGCAACATTACATTTTAAAAGAATAATCCAGCGATCATACAGCATTTACCAGGAGGCAGGGCGACCGACGTAAAGGCTAATCTGAAGATGTTGCTGGCTGAGGCTAAAACTGGCAAGTGTTGAGAGTATAGGGATATTGTTATGAACGTCGGCACCAACGATGTTAGGATGAAACAGTTAGAGGTCACCAAGCGCAACAAAGCTTCAGCGTGTAAATTAGCCAGAAAGATGTGTCAGCATCAAGTAATTGTCCCAGTTTGGGGGAGTGATGAGCTCCACAGCAGAGTTTCACAACTCAATCGCTGGTTGAAAACTGTTTTCTTCCCCTCCCTAAAGATGGAATTTGTAGATAATTTACCCTCTTTCTGGGACTCTAGGACCAAGCCTGGCCTGCTGAGGAGTGACAGACTCCACCCTAGCTGGAGGGGTGCTCTCATCTTATTTAACAACATTGAGAGGGCTCTAACTCCACTAGCTCCTAAATGAGATAGCGTGCCGGCCAGGCAGCAGGCTGTTAACCAGCCTGCCAGCTTTGTTGAGTCAGTCACTAGCACAGTCAGTGTAGTCAGCTTAGTGTTCCCCATTCAGACCATGGCTATGCCTCGATCTAGATCGGGAAAATCTAAACATAGCGGTGTTCACCTTAGCAATCTCACTAGAATAAAGACCTCCTACATCCTTGTCATTTCTGAAAGAGACTGTAATAATACCTAGGACTACTTAATGTTATATCCCTCACTTCCAAGACAGTCATAGTCAATGAACTAATCACTGATCCTAAACATGATGTGATTGGCATGACTGAAACATGGCTTAAGCATGATTAATTTACTGAGTTAAGTGAGGCCTCTCCTCCTGGTTACACTAGTGATCATATCCCCCGCGCATCCTGAAAAGGCAGAGGTGTTAAAAAAAATTTGACAGCAAATTTCAATTTACAAAAATAAAATACCAGCTTTTTTGTCTTTTGAGGTGCTAGTTATGAAATATACCCAAGTACTTTTATAGCTTTTGTTTACAGGCCTCCTGGGCAGTATACAGCGTTCCTCACTGAGTTTCCTGAATTCCTATCGAACCTTGTAGTCATGGCAGATAATATTCAAACTTTTGGTGACTTCAATATTCATATGGAGAAGTCCACAGACCCACTTCAAAAGGCTCATCAAAGACTCAGTGGACTCAGTGGAGTTTATCCAACATGACTCGGGACCTATGCATTGCCACAATCATACCGTGGATCTGGTTTTGTCCTGTGGAATAGATATTGTGGATCTAAATGTTTTTCCTCATAATTCTGGACTATCGGACCACCATCTTATTATGTTTGCAATCGCAACAAATAATTTGCTTGGACCCCAACCAAGGATTATCAAAAGTCGCGCTTTAAATTCTCAGACAACCCAAAGATTAATTGATGCCCTTACAGACTCCCTCCACCTACCCAAGGGTGTCGGAGTACAAAAATCAGTTCAACACTTAACCAGGGATCTAAACTTAACCTTGCGTAATACCCTAGATGCAGTCGCACCACTACAAACTAAAACAAATTGTCACAAGAAACTAGCTCCCTGGTATACAGAAAAGACCTGAGCCCTGAAGCAAGCTTCCAGAAAATTGGAACGGAAATGGCACTACACCAAATTGGAAGTCTTACAACTAGCTTGGAAAGACAGTATCGTGCAATATCGAAAGGCTCTCACTGCTGCCCGATCAGCCAATCTTTCCAATCTGATTGAGATGGCAGCATTCGCGAAAAACTGAAAACACGAACCACCGCATTTAACCATGACATGGTGATGGGGAATTTGGCAGAATACAAACAGAGTGGTCGTTCCCTCCGCAAGTCAATCAAACGGGCAAAACGTCAATATCGAGACAAAGTGGAGTAGAAATTCAACAGCTCAGACACGAGACATATGTGGCGGACTACAATAGGAAATCACGGACTACAATAGGAAAACCAGCCACATCGTGGACAGCGACGTCTTGCTGCCAGACAAGCTAAACAAGTTCTTTGCCCGCTTTGAGGATAACACAGTGCCAACGACGCGGCCAGCTACCAAGGACTGTGGGCTCTCCTTCTCCGTGGCCGATGTGAGTAAGACATTTAAACGTGTTAACCCTCACAAGGCTGCCGGCCCAGATGGCATTCCTAGCCGCATCCTCAGAGCATGCGCAGACCAGCTGGCTGTTGTGTTTACGGACATATTACATCTCTCCCTATCGCAGTCTGCTGTCCCCACATGCTTCAAGTTGGCCACCATTGTTCCTGTACCCAAGAATGCAAAGGTAACTGAACTGAATGACTATCGCCCTGTAGCACTCACTTCTGTCATCATGAAGTGCTTTGAGAGACTAGTCAAGGATCATATCACCTCCACCTTACCTGTCACCCTAGACCCACTTCAATTTGCTTACCGCCCCAATAGGTCCACAGACGATGCAATCGCCATCACACTGCACACTGCCCTATCCCATCTGGACAAGAGGAATACCTATGTAAGAATGCAGTTCATTGACTATAGCTCAGCATTCAACAACATAGTACCCTCCAAGCTCATCATTAAGCTTGAGGCCCTGTGTCTCAACCCCTCCCTGTGCAATTGGGTCCTGGACTTCCTGACGGGCCACCCCCAGGTGGTGAAGGTAGGAAACAACATCTCCACTTTGCTGATCCTCAACACTGGGGCCTCGCAAGGGTGTGTGCTCAGCCCCCTCCTGTACTCCCTGTTCACTCATCAAGTTTGCAGACGACACAACAGTAGTAGGCTTGATTACCAACAATGATGAGACAGCCTACAGGGAGGAGGTGAGGGCTCTCAGAGTGTGGTGTCAGAAAAATGACCTTTCACTCAACGTCATTAAAACAAAGGAGATGATCGTGGACTTCAGGAAACAGCAGAAGGAGTACCCCCCCCTATCCACATCGACCGGAAAGCAGTGAAGAAGGTGGAAAGTTCCTCTGTGTACATTTCACTGACAAACTGAAATGGTCCACCCACACAGACAGTGCGGTGAAGAAGGCGCAACAGCGTCAGGAGGCTGAAGAAATTTGGCCTGTCACCTAAAACCCTCACAAACAGATGCACAATTGAGAGCATCCTGTCGGGCTGTATCACCGCCTTGTACGGCAACTGCAACGCCCGCAACCGCAGGGCTCTCCAGAGGGTGGTGTGGTCTGCACAACGCATCACCGGGGGCAAACTACCTGCCCTCCAGGACCAGATGTAACAGGAAGGCCAAAAATAAAAAGGACAACTACCACCCGAGCCACTGTCTGTTCACCCCGTTATCATCCAGAAGGCGAGGTCAGTATAAGTGCATCAAAGCTTGGACCGAGAGACTGAAAAACAGTTTCTATCTCAAAGCCATCAGACTGTTAAACAGCCATCACTAGCACAGAGAGGCTGCTGCCTACATACAGACTTGAAAATCACTGGCCACATGAATAAATGGAACACTAGTCACTTTAATAATGCCACTTTAATCATGTTTACATATCTTGCATTACCCATCTCTATGCTTCTTTATATTTACCCACAAACAGCCATTTCTGTATCTCCTGTCTGATCTTCAGGTGAGGTAACTTCTTATCCTACATGTGCTGCACACTACACCTTCTGAAGGACGGGTTGATCAGGCCCAAGTGAGCCAGGTGGCTCGTCCACTTTTTCTCACTCTTCAGCCACAACCACTGAGATGTTCTCTCTGCCTCCTGATCAGTTATATGACCGATCGTATTTGTCTGTACTCCTCCTGTAGACTGCCCTCCACAGTTATGAAGTCCAGTGACAAGGTATTTCTATGTCTAATAATGATACAATAGTTCTATCTAGTGTTCAACATTCTGCCCAACAAGGTGACACATTGACATTGCTTGTATTTTCAAGGGTAAGTTACTAGTGAGAGTCAATAGGTGTCAGTAGAGTCAATCAATTAGCATTTCAAACTAAATCAACCTGAGAAGGGCAACATTTCACAGGGAATCCTTCTAGCAGTTCAACTAAATTGAATATACAATAAGCTCCCCCCCTGCTGCAGAGCCCCACAATTATGAGACTTCTCAGCTACAGTGGATGGAACATAAAGTCTTCTTGCTGCATGTTGTTATGGTATGGTAATATTATTTTCCTTATTTGTTTACCGCTTTTGCTCAAATGCATTTATTTTTTCAAACATATTTTTCAGTTTTCTTATCACGCTGAGCCTTGGTCCACTTCTTATGACGATCGTGACAGAAGATCCCACCATTAGAGGACAAAGCAGCGTGCCCGGGAGGAGAAGCTGGCGATGTCGCAGGTGGGCACATGGTGGTCTTGGGAGGACATATTCGCGGGCAGAGGGCCATGGGCAAAAGTAAATGCCCAAGCAGGAGAGGAGAAACGACGACGGACACGCGAGAGGCAACCCCAAGTAATTTTTTTGGGGGGGCACATGGCGTGGACGACGGGGCTGCTGGAGGCAGCTACAGGGCGAGTTTGCGGACTAGGAGAGGAGGCCACCAGGTTACGGGGGCCATTGGTCATGAGGGGGAAGGAGAGTGTAGAGGCACGGCGAGAGGTACTGGGGTGTGTCACCAGTCCGGTCCGGCCCGTTCCTGATTCCCGCACAAGGCCAGTGGTGTGTGTTCCCAGTACGGTCCGGCCTGTTCCTGTCCCTCGCACCAAGCCTGTGGTGCGCGTCGCCAGCCCGGTCCGGCCTGTTCCTGCTCCCCGCACCAAGCCCGTGATGCGCGTCGCCAGCCCAGTCCGGCCCGTTCCTGCTCCCCGCACCAAGCCTGTGGTGCGCGTCGTCAGCCGGTCCGGCCCGTTCCTGCTCCCCGCACCAAGCCAGTGGTGCGCGTCACCAGCCCGGTTCGGCCTGTTCCTGCTCCCCGCACCAAGCCAGTGGTGCGCGTCGCCAGCCCGGTTCGGCCTGTTCCTGCTCCCCGCACCAAGCCAGTGGTGCGCGTCGTCAGCCCGGTCCGGCCCGTTCCTGCTCCCCGCACCAAGCCAGTGGTGCGCGTCGTCAGCCTGGTCCGGCCCGTTCCCGCTCCCCACACCAAGCCAGTGGTGCGCGTCGTCAGTCCGGCACGGTCCGTGCCTGTTCCACCGGTGCCTGGTCCGGCACCGGTCAGCTGCTCCACGCCGGAGCCAGAGCAATCCGCTCCACCGGTGTTCAGTCCAGCTCCGGCCAGCAGGGCCAGACCACGAGGGCGAGAGAGAGAGTGGTGGTCATGCCCGGAGCCGGATCCGCCTCCGAGGCGTAATGCTCACCCGGCCCCTCCCCTGTGGTGTTTGGTTGGCGCGGTCGCAGTCCGCGCCTTTGGGGGGGGGGGGGGTACTGTCACGCCCTGGCTCTGGGGACTCTTTAATGTTGAGCCAGGGTGTTAGTTTCTATGTTTTGTTTTCTAGGGTGTTGTTCTAGAACGTTTAGTTTCTATGTTGGCCAGGGTGGTTCCCAATCAGAGACAGCTGTAGCTCGTTGTCTCTGATTGGGGACCATACTTAGGCAGCCTGTTTTGCACAGTTGATTGTGGGATCTTGTTCTGTATAGGTTTGTGTTGGTGAACCTTTAGACTTCACGTATCGTTTTGTTATTTTGTTAGAGTGTTGTGTACGTAAATAAAATATGTACGCTTATCACGCTGCGCCTTGGTCCGCTTCTTATGACGATCGTGACACACTCAGCCACCAGGAGATGTGATCGCTACTGAGCGAGGACAGGTCACACTGGACTGTCAATCTCGCACAGTGACACACAGAAGAACATTTCAGAGGAGAGTGAATTTATGCAAACATCAGCCTGAAGATGGAGAAATCAATCAGTGTATTGATCATTTTGATTATGACTAGTGGTAAACAATACCTAAACATTTGAACTCCTTCCATCCTTATAATCAGATTATTAAATTATGGTATTGGGTGTAAAGCATATTTTTATGAAGTAAAGTAATTGAAATGTGAAAAATAAGAATGCGTTTTCAATCAGCTATAATATCTATTTTTCCTCTGCATGAATGGTATCTGGAGATAATGTGACTTTTGACAAGGAGGAGTATACCCCACTGAGGAATTATTAGAAACTCTGAGCTGTACGTATGAAACAAGCAGCAGTAACATCTACCTTTACTGGTGCCAACAATACCCTAACCAGGCACCTCAGTACCTACTGTATAAAGGTGCCAGAGCAAATAGTGTTGACCATATCTCTAATCATCTATATGAATCTACAACATCCCAAACGTCAACTACACTCATGATAAAACAAGAAACTCTGGCAGACACAGCTCTCCACTACTGTGCCCTGAAGGACGTTTCTGAGAGGATGTACAAAAACTAGTACACTGATAAATGACTTGTTTTAGATGAGCTTGTTGGTCATTTCCTGACCACAGTTCATTATCAGGCTCAGAGCAACAGAGGGTTTGTTGATAACATTATTGTGGTTACACCAGTTGTAAAAACACATTTAGCATAATAGGGGAAAACTGTATAACATACAAATTAAAGAATATTATGAATATGGAAACCAAAGCATTTTAAAATAAAATGTTCTTCCTCTTATTCATTCACTTCAGAAGATCCTCTGAACAATGAGTTGCGTTGTGTTTAGAGGAGGAGCTAGTATGAGAATGAAAATTAGACAGTCAAAATAGCATGAAGGTCTTTCCTCAGTGCATTGTAAACTTGTCTCTCTAACATTAACCATGCTGTGCTGGTTCACCTTGTTCTTTTTAACATTACTGGGTAATTAAAATACATTTAACAGTAATGATAATGTGTAATTACGTCATTACAAGCTTAGAAAAACAACACTCAAGCTTTGACCGGAGAAAAATAACTTTTATTTTATTTTCTGCAGGTGGGGATGGAATTTTCTCCAACAGTCTTGAGGCGGATGTAATACATGGTGGCAGTGTCAAGCTTTCCTGCAACTACACAGTATCTGGTGGACGCAGTGTCTTATAGTATCACCAATATCCCACATCTGCTCCCCAATTCCTCCTCCTCATCTCAGTGTATTCAGCATCTGCTGAGACAATAGTTCCTGCAGATCCGCCGTGTCCTCGACTGTCAGTTAACGTTGACAAAGTGGCTGAACGTGTGGATCTGGAGATCTCCTCTGTTGAAGTGACAGACTCTGCTTTGTTCTACATATTTTTCATTTTTTTTGCACTGCATGGATCACCGGTGTGGTTGAATGCAGCATTGCTGTATGGTGTACTCAAAATGTCTTGTTGTTGAGTAGCCAGCTTAGGCTACTGCTCAAATGTTGCTGTAAAAATCCTACATGTTTCTCCTTTGCATGGTATTTGGTTGCAGACATACAGTGTCTTCGGAAAGTATTCATACCCCTTGACTTTTTCCACATTTTGTTAAGTTAGAGCCTTATTCTAAAATGGATGTTAAAAAAAAATCCTCATCAACATACACACACCCCATAATGATACAGAAGTATTCCGACCCTTTGCTATGCGACTCGAACTTGAGCTCCTGTTTCCATTGATCATCCTTCAGATGTTTCTACAACTTGATTGGAGTCCACCTGTGGTAAATTCAATTGATTGGACATGATTTTGAAAGGCACACACCTGTCTATATAAGGTCCCACAGTTGACAGTGCACGTCAGAACAAAAACCAAGTCATGAGGTCGAAGGAATTGTCTGTAGAGCTCTGAGACAGGATTGTGTCGAGGCACAGATCTGGGGAAGTGTACCAAAAACTTTTTGCAGCAGTGAAGGTCCCCAAGAACACAGTGGCCTCCATCATTCTTAAATGGAAGAAGTTTGGAACCACCAAGACTCTTCCTAGAGCTGGCCGCCCGACCAAACTGAGCAATCGGTGAAGAAGATCCTTGGTCAGGGAGGTGACCAATAACACGATGGTCACTCTGGCAGCGTTCTGGAGTTCCTCTGTGGAGATGGGAGAACCTTCCAGAAGGACAACCATCTCTGCAGCACTCCACCAATCAGGCCTTTATGGTAGAGTGGCCAGACGGAAGCCACTCCTCAATAAAAGGCACATGACAGCCCGCTTGGAGTTTGCCAAAAGTCACCTAAAGACTCTCAGACCATGAGAAACAAGATTCTCTGGTCTGATGAAACCAAGATTGAACTCTTTGACCTGAATGCCAAGCGTCACATCTGGAGGAAACCTGGCACCATCCATACGGTGAAGCATGGGGGTGGCAGCATCATGCTGTGGGGATGTTTTTCAGCGGCAGGGACTGGGAGACTAGTCAGGATCAAGGGAAAGATGAACGGAGCAAAGTACAGAGAGATCCTTGATGAAAACCTGCTCCAGAGAGCTCAGACTTGGGCGAAGGTTCACCTTCCAACAGGACAACGACCCTAAGCACACAGCCAAGACAACGCAGGAGTGTTTTCGGGACAAGTCTCTGAATGTCCTTGAGTGGCCCAGCCAGAGCCCAGCCCGATCTAACATCTCTGGAAAGACCTGAAAATAGCTGTGCAGCGACGCTTCCCATCCAACCTGACAGAGCTTGAGAGGATCTGCAGAGAAGAATGGGAGAAACTCCCCAAATACAGTTGTGCCAAGCTTGTAGCATCATACCCTAGAAGACTCGAGGCTGTAATCGCTGCCAAACGAGCTTCAACAAAGTACTGAGTAAAGGGTCTGAATACTTATGTAAATGTAATATTTTTATTTTTTATTTTTAATACATTATCAGAAATATCTCAAAACCTATTTTTGCTTTGCAATTATGGATTATTGTTTTTAGATTGATGAGGGGAAAAACGATTTAATCAATTTTAGAATAAGGCTGAAACGTAACAAAATGTGGAAAAAGTCAAGGGTACTTTCCGAATGCACTGTATGTGTTATGTTTTACAGGTAGGTCCATGTTGAGACCAATGATGCCATTTAATCCATGCATATTGTATGTATATGATGTGGTTAAGAGGCCTGACTGTAGCAGAATAGGAATACCCATCAAATTGACAGAATGTATCAATGCTCAGGTGAAACATTTGAGTCATAGGCTTTATTTATCAGAGACATTAATATAAATCATTAGTGTTTAGATATCTACAAAGTATGGGTTAGACACAAGTTAAAAAAGCAACCAGATAACTTCCTGCTGATGTGGTCCATTCTGAGTTTTATTTTTTTTATAGTGTGTGTAGGTTTCTTGTAACTGTGGGCCTCACAGCGCAGTAGTACATAACAGAGTCTGTCACTTCAGCAGAGGAGATCTCCAGATCCAAACGTTTTATCTCTTCATTCAGTTTTGTAGATATTCGAGTGTTCAGAGGATCTGCTTTCTTTATAAACCCTGTACCTGAGATGTACATGAGGAACTCTGGCCTTTGTGCTGTGTCTTGGTGATACCAATATACTTTATCTCCACCAGTAGCTGTTCTGGAGTAGTTGTAAGACAGGGTAACAGGGGTTCCCTCTAAACAGTACTCTTTCTTGAGTGGAGTGAGGTCCTCATAACTGACACCTGCATAGAGAATGGTTTTTAAACACATACATTTAATTGTTCATGAAAATATATTTGAAGTGGAATTGATTTCAAATGGACAATTATGGCAATGCATTGTATTGAATTGAATTGTACTGTATTGTTTTGTATTGTATTGCCTATCAATAAATATGGTCAGGAACAACACTGAATACAGCAACACCATCTTAGATGAACAGAGACATACTGACAGACAGATCCAAGCGGTCTCTGAAAGTTTCCTCCTGTTTTTATGTTTCTATACTGCTGTTCAGCCCATTCTCTGCCATAAGTCTCTCTCCTTAACATACAGTAGGTATGTTACTTAAGTACTGTATGCTGTACAATATGTCTGTTTCCTCCCATGGTTCACTGTGGTCTTCATGGCACATTAGTACAGAGCAGAGTATGTCACTTCAGCAGAGGAGTTATTCAGATCAGCACGTTTGGTCTCTGTATCAATATAACCTAACAGAATAGCAGGCGACCAATTCTCTTGGAGGTCTGTATCTATCATCCATAGAAGGAATGTTGGCATTTTCCCAGCACTGGTTTGATGATCCCAGTAGAATATTTTTCCAATTGTAGAACTTGAGGAGCAGTTATAGGACAGGGTGACAGTGGTTCCCTCCAAGACATGCCCTTAATTTCTCAAATGAGCAATAGCATTCTCAAAACTGTAATCTGTATTTTAAAAAAAGTGTAGTTGTAGTACATATGTTAATGAAAAGAAAATGTAATATAAAACACAATATAATCTTTTTATGCATGCTTATCAGTTAAGTGTCACTTACCTGCAAATGTGCATAGCAGCAGCACTGCATACAGAAACATAATCTTGGCTATCTCTGAATATTTACTCCTCTGTTGCCTTGGTGTATCTTACTTAATTTCTGCTTACTGTAGCTCCTCCTCTTCTCATTGGTTTCTTGCCAAGACACTTGACAGGTTTTTGTACAGTGTGCCTGGGTTTCCTCTCACTGTGGGCGCCATGGCACAGTAGTACAGAGCAGAGTCTGTCACTTCAGCAGAGGAGATCTTCAGATCCACACGTTTGTCCACTTTGTCGATGGTAACGGTCAGACGAGGATGTGGGGGAGTAGCTTTAAATATAGTCCCCTCTGATGTGATGTACAGGAGGAATTCTGGTTTGGATCTGGGATATTGGCGGTACCACTGTAGATTGTAGACAGTGATATCATGTTTGCAGGAGAGATGGACATTCCTTCCCTCCTGAACAAGCTCTTTAGTTGTCGCAGGTTTTATTGAATCCCCAAAACTGTTTCCTGCAAAAAAAGTAACAGTAAAAATTGTAGTTGTAACTGACGTTTAACAAATGTTCCATAACTGTTAAAAATATAAAATTAACATCTACGATATTATTGTACTAAGACAAGTGTTATGGATTAAAATATATTCTTCATTCACTGTAAGATTAAATTCACAGATGAGAGCAAGGATTCAATCATATAATAACTCACCTAAACAAGCTGAAAAGAGAACTAATGAGAAGAGCAACATCTTGTTAGACCTTTGAGAAACAGACAGAGAGACAGACAGACAGACAGACATCACTGAGAGACCTGACTGACTAGCCACTTCCTGAACAATAACATCCCATATGCTACATCTGGATCTTTGATTATACAGCCCCACCTCTTAACACCACTGTGAAATGTTTTCTGTTGTGTCTTTCTTTCTACAGTATATGTTGTCAGGTTTTTGTAGTGTTTCTGGGTTTCCTGTCACTGTGGTCCTCAGAGCACAGTAGTACAGAGCAGAGTCTGTCACTTCAGCAGAGGAGGTCTCCAGATCCACACAGGTTCTCTCCTTGTTCAGTGTAACAGACAGTCGAAAGTATTGTGGATCACCTCTCACTTCATATGGATTATTGGTAGGAATTGGAGACCTGATCCAGAGTACTGTCTGTACCACAGCAGACTATCTGCTATTACTTTATAGTTACAGGAGAGCTTAACTCTACTACCCTCTAAATAATTATCTTCAGGGCTGGTTGGAGTGATATCATCCTCTAAAGCATCACTTGTGAAGGAGACAAAAATAAGCATGAGACTAAATATCAAAACCTCTTATTTTATATTTGAAGCAGCCCAATATTTACGAATGAAATAATGCCAGACAGTGTGGAAATGACTTTACATAAAACCTTAATTACCAACAAGTGGTGAAAACAGTAAGATTGAAGTGAGCAACATCGTGGTGTATGTGACAGAAAATGCAGCTACAGGACAGGGGTTATCTCAACTGTCTGATATGCAGTGTATTGTGATATGTGATATGCAGTGTACTGTGATCTGCAGGATGTGATATGTGATATGTTCTGTATGGCTGCTGTCTCTGCACTGCAACTACCTCCACTGTCAGGAGGAGGAGCCACCTGCTCAGAGAAATAGAGGTTTGTGTAGTGTTGAGGTGAGGCCCTCTACAGAAGATAGGGAGTTATACTGTCTATCTTGTTGATTTAAATGGTGTTGATTGGGGTGTAGAAGGACTGATAATGTGGACTTCTTTAAGCGTTAAGGTGTTGTCAACCTGAGTTGGAACTGACAGATAATAATTATATCTGAAACAGTTCACAACAAGGATTGTTGTCCACTGCTTCTGTACAGTTGTTGTAAAGTGTTTCTGGATTTTCTGTCACTGTGGACCTCAGGTCGCATTAGTACAGAGCAGAGTCTGTCACTTCAGCAGAGGAGATGTCCAGATCCACACAGGTTCTCTCTTCATTCAGATTAACAGAGAGTCGGGGTTCTTCAGGTTTAGCTCTTATTACAGCAGGCTTTGAGGTGACTGTAGTGTAGAGGAGGAATTGGTATGCTGATCCAGAGTACTGTCTGTGCCAGAGCAGAAAGTCTGATTTTACTATATAGTAACAGGAGATCTTAAATCTGCTACCCTCTAAATAATACTCCTCAGGGCTGGTTGGAGTAATATCATCCTCTAAAGTATCACATACAAGTGCTGAAATCAGTAGAATATAACAGAGTAGCATCATGGTCCATGTTAGAGATCAGACATGAATGTGTTATTTAGAAAACAGCAAAGCCAAAACACTGCTATGACTTTGAAATGATAAGTAGCCATATACAATGTTGCTCCTCCTCTTTACATAGGGTTTTAAACACACCCACCAGGTTTCCTGTTAAAAATTAAAACCTTGAGATGTAACATCTCCTGTAGGTCATGTCATGTAACTATAGAATGTGTCAGGTTAGGTTTTTGTACAGCGTATGTAGGTTTCCTTTCACTGTGGGCGTCAGTGCACAGTAGTACATAGCAGAGTCTTTCTCTTTAGCAGAGGAGATCTCCAGATCCACACGGGTCTTCTCATCATTTAGTTTGACTGACAGTCTAGGATCCAGACCTGAAGCCCGTGATGGAGACCCAACACCATGCAGGATAAGCAGGATATACTGAGGAGCTGATCCAGGGTCCTGGAGATACCATTGAAGAGAGACTGCAGATGAGTAGGTGCATGAAAGTGTAATATTGCTACCTGCTGGAGCATACACCTCCTCTCTGATTGGTTCAATGGTCTGACCATTACTGTCACCTGCAAGAGATACAAAATATGTTATTCTTCTATTATTACTCTGTTATAGATCTATTTTAAACGCATAAAATCTTTATTTCGATTCAACATAAAACATATATTTTTTTACGGATTATAGTAGATTACTTACATGCAAATACTAAAAACAAAATAAATGTCGGGGCTGACATTGTGGCTGAAACTGGAAGTTAAAATGATACCACACAGCACAACAAGATTTGTGTATACTAAAAAAACATCCTTCTCCTTCTAGTTTTGAATGGACCATCTGTTCTCAAAACTTTGAAGCCCCACCCCAAAATACAGAGAGTTGTCAGATCATGCAGAAGTAACAGCAGACTTGTTGCTGCTGCTTGATGCCACTGTCACATCCTCAAAATGCAGGTCTGCACTGAAATATGATTACCTTGGTCTCCATCTATTGGATATTGTATAAAACTGTGTTATCTATCTCCATTTATTTTCTTGATTTTAGGGCAACAGAGTTGCTTGATGCAAGATCTGCAAGATATTCATTTATTCAACATGAGGCGTTCATTCATTTATAGTTTATTTTATTTTCTTATTTAAATCTAGAATCTAAAGTATATATAAGCAACACAATCAGATAGCCTTAATACATTTCTGTCACGTTTCCATGTTATGTTCATTTTTAGTGTTCATTGAAAATCTTTCATTGCTCATTTTCTGTGTATGTGTGTTTTGTCTATGCAAGGTAATGTTGAAATAGAAAATGAGGGGATATCTAGGGGATGTCAGTTTTCTTTCCAGGTGTTTGTACAGTGTGCACAGGTTTCCTGTCACTGTGGGCTGCAGGGCACAGTAGTACAGAGCAGAGTCAGACAGCTGCACCCTCCAGATCATCAAGGGGACTGATTGTTTCTTGCCATTTAGACTTGCATCAAACCTCTCCTTGAACCCTGCAGCATTGTCTCCAGATCCAAAAGAATAACGGCTCAGCATATGTTTAGGGAAGTCATTTGCTTCTTGTTTGTACCAATATAGATATGCATTATTAGTACTGGTCTTATATTGACAACTCAGTGTTACCAGTCCTCCTTCTGTAACAATCACACCTCCTGGTTGCTGTTGCACATTATCTCCTGTGCACTCTGGGGAAAAAAGAAAGACTGAGTGATAGTTTTAAGATGATAGAAATTATAAAACTATAGGTCAAATTAGTTAAAGATGAGATAAACCAATGAGAGAAAAGGTTCCTTCATACCGAAGCACAATACAGCAAGAACCAGCCAGATGATCAGACAAAGTACCATGGTTATGCAGAACACACAGAGAGTGACTGTGAGTTACAGTAAGAGGTAGAGATCCTCTCTCTCTCTTCCATGTCCATCTCAGCCTGTATATCATCATCAACTGACAGACATGAAGGAGGAGCCTGTTCAGAGAGAGGAAAGATTGTATAAAAATGTATGAATCAATATTGTGTCTGGCAATATTAGATATTCCCACTCTCTGCAGTACATTAGACAAAGTGAAAAGCTTACATCTTGCTCACATGAAATCGAAAGTAGCTTAAAGCAATTGTCAATTACATAAATGTTCCTGATGTGAGTATGACAAACATATACAGTGGGGAGAACAATTATTTGATACACTGCCGATTTTGCAGGTTTTCCTACTTACAAAGCATGTAGAGGTCTGTAATTTTTTATCATAGGTACACTTCAACTGTGAGAGACGGAATCTAAAACAAAAATCCAGAAAATCACATTGTATGATTTTTAAGTAATTAATTTGCATTTTATTGCATGACATAAGTATTTGATCACCTACCAACCAATAAGAATTCCGGCTCTCACAGACCTGTTAGTTTTTCTTTAAGAAGCCCTCCTGTTCTCCACTCATTACCTGTATTAACTGCACCTGTTTGAACTCGTTACCTGTATAAAAGACACCTGTTCACACACTCAATCAAACAAACTCCAACCTCTCCACAATGGCCAAGACCAGAGAGCTGTGTAAGGACATCAGGGATAAAATTGTAGACCTGCACAAGGCTGGGATGGGCTACAGGACAATATGCAAGCAGCTTGGTGAGAAGGCAACAACTGTTGGCGCAAGTATTAGAAAATGGAAGAAGTTCAAGATGACGGTCAATCAATAGCCCCCGTGATATGCAACTTTTCAGGGAAGTTAGGAACCAATATACACAAGCAGTTAGGAAAGCAAAGGCTAACTTTTTCAAACAGAAATTTGCATCCTGTAGCACTAACTCCAAAAAGTTTTGGGACACTGTAAAGTCCATGGAAAATAAGAGCACTTCCTCCCAGCTGCCCACTGCACTGAGGCTAGGAAACACTATCACCACCGATAAATCTACAATAATCGAGAATTTCAACAAGCATTTTGCTACGGCTGGCCATGCTTTCCACCTGGCTACCACTACCCCGGCCACCAGCTCTGCACCCTCCGCTGCAACTTGCCCATGCCCCCCCCGCTTCTCCTTCACACAAATCCAGACAGCTGATGTTCTAAAAGAGCTGCAAAATCTGGACCCCTACAAATCATCTGGACTAGACAATCTGGACCCTTTCTTTCTAAAACTAGCCGCCGAAATTGTCGCAACCCCTATTACTAGCCTGTTCAACCTCTCTTTCGTAACGTCTGAGATCCCCAGAGATTGGAAAGCTGCCGCGGTCATCCCCCTCTTCAAAGGGGGTGACACTCTAGATCCAAACTGTTACAGACCCATATCCATCCTGCCCTGCCTTTCAAAAGTTTTTGAAAGCCAAGTCAACAAACAGATCACCAACCATTTCGAATCCCACCGTACCTTCTCCGCTATGCAATCCGGTTTCCGAGCTGGTCATGGGTGCACTTCAGCCACGCTCAAGGTCCTAAATGATATTATAACCGCGATCGATAATAGACAGTACTGTGCAGCCGTTTTCATTGACCTGGCCAAGGCTTTCGACTCTGTCAACCACCGCATTCTTATTGGCAGACTAAATAGCCTTGGTTTCTCAAATGACTGCCTCGCCTGGTTCACCAACTACTTCTCAGATAGAGTTCAATGTGTCAAATCGGAGGGCCTGTTGTCTGGACCTATGGCAGTCTCTATGGGGGTGCCACAGGGTTCAATTCTTGGGCCAACTCTTTTCTCTGTGTATATCAATGACGTCGCTCTTGCTGCTGGTGACTCTCAGATCCACCTCTACGCAGACGACACCATTTTGTATACATCCGGCCCTTCATTGGACACTGTGTTAACAAACCTCCAAACGAGCTTCAATTCCATACAACACTCCTTCAGTAGCCTCCAACTGCTCTTAAACACTAGTAAAACAAAATGCATGCTCTTCAACCGAACGCTGCTTGCACCCGCCCACCCGACTAGAATCACTACTCTAGACGGGTCTGACCTAGAGTACGTGGACAACTACAAATATCTAGGTGTCTGGTTAGACTGTAAACTCTCCTTCCAGACTCACATTAAGAATCTCCAATCCAAAGTTAAATCTAGAATCGGTTTCCTATTTCGCAACAAAGCCTCCTTCACTCATGCTGCCAAACATGCCCTCGTAAAACTGACTATCCTACCGATCCTTGACTTCGGCGATGTCATTTACAAAATAGCCTCCAACACTCTACTCAGCAAATTGGATGTTGTCTATCACAGTGCCATCCGTTTTGTCTCCAAAGCCCCATATAATACCCACCACTGTGACCTGTACGCTCTTGTTGGCTGGTCCTCACTACATATTCGTCGCCAAACCCACTGGCTCCAGGCCATCTATAAATCACTGCTAGGCAAATCCCCGCCTTATCTTAGCTCATTGGTCACCATAGCAACACCCACCCGTAGTCTGCGCTCCAGCGGGTATATCTCACTGGTCATCCCCAAAGCCAACACCTCCTTTGGCCGCAATTCCTTCCAGTTCTCTGCTGCCAATGACTGGAACAAATTGCAAAAATCTCTGAAGCTGGAGACACTTATCTCCCTCACTAACTTTAAGCATCAGTTGTCAGAGCACCTTACCGATCACTGCACCTGTACACAGCCCATCTGAAGTTAGCCCGCCCAACTACCTCATCCCTATATTGTTATTTATTTTGCTCATCTGTACCCCAGTATCTCTATTTGCACATCATCTCTTGCACATCATTCCAGTGTTAATACTAAATTGTAATTATTTTGCACTATAGCCTATTTTATTGCCTTACCTCCATAACTTGCTAAATTTGCACACTGTATATTAATTGTATTTCTGTTGTATTTTTTTGATTTTTGTTTTGTTTTACCCCATATGTAACTCTGTGTTGTTGTTTTTATCGCACTGCTTTGCTTTATCTTGGCCAGGTCGCAGTTGTAAATGAGAACTTGTTCTCAACTGGTTTACCTGGTTAAATAAAGGTGAAATAAAAAAAATAAAAAAATCACCCTCGGTCTGGGGCTCCATGCAAGATCTCACCTTGTGTGGCATCAATGATCATGAGGAAGGTGATGAATCAGCCCAGAACTACACGGCAGGACCTGGTCAATGACCTGAAGAGAGCTGGGACCACAGTCTCAAAGAAAACCATTAGTAACACACTACGCCGTCATGGATTAAAATCCTGCAGCGCACGCAATGTCGCCCTGCTCAAGCCAGCGCATGTCCAGGCCCGTCTGAAGTTTGCCAATGACCATCTGGATGATCCAGAGGAGGAATGGGAGAAGGTCATGTGGTCTGATGAGACAAAAATATAGCTTTTTGGTCTAAACTCCACTCGCCGTGTTTGGAGGAAGAAGAAGGATGAGTACAACCCCAAGAACACCATCCCAACCGTGAAGCATGGAGGTGGAAACATCATTCTTTGGGGATGCTTTTCTGCAAAGGGGACAGGACGACTGCACCGTATTGAGGGGAGGATGGATGGGGCCATGTATCGCGAGATCTTGGCCAACAACCTCCTTCCCTCAGTAAGAGCATTGAAGATGGGTCGTGGCTGGGTCTTCCAGCATGACAACGACCCGAAACACACAGCCAGGGCAACTAAGGAGTGGCTCCGTAAGAAGCATCTCAAGGTCCTGGAGTGGCCTAGCCAGTCTCCAGACCTGAACCCAATAGAAAATCTTTGGAGGGAGCTTAAAGTCCGTATTGCCCAATGACAGCCCCGAAACCTGAAAGATCTGGAGAAGGTCTGTATGGAGGAGTGGGCCAAAATCCCTGCTGCAGTGTGTGCAAACCTGGTCAAGACCTACAGGAAACGTATGATCTCTGTAATTGCAAACAAAGGTTTCTGTACCAAATATTAAGTTCTGCTTTTCTGATTAATCAAATACTAATGTCATGCAATAAAATGCAAATTAATTACTTAAAAATCATACAATGTGATTTTCGTTTTAGATTCCATCTCTCACAGTTGAAGTGTACGTATGATAAAAAATTACAGACCTCTACATGCTTTGTAAGTAGGAAAACATGCAAAATCGGCAGTGTATCAAATACTTGTTCTCCCCACTGTATATATATATTTTTTTGAAAAGGTGCAGTTATTCTATTATAATTCAGGAACAAACACTCATGTAGCCTACAGAGTATCTAATTCAGGTCTACTACTGTACATGAAGTATATTGAAATGTTTGATTTGGGTCCCAACTTTTCAGTGGTACTGTATGTTTCTATGGACACATGTGAACCAAATAGTTTTTGTAAGGGGACTGTATCTCCTGTTGTCACAGTGGGCCTCAGAGCACAGTAGTACACAGCAGAGTCAGACATCTGCAACCTCTGGATTGTCAAGGGGACTGATTTTGCTGTGACATTCAGACACATCAAATCTTTCCTTGAACTCAGTAGTAGTGTCTCCAGGTGAAAACTTATCCCTTCTCAGCATAAACATGGGGTTGCTATTTGTTTGTTGTTTGTACCAGAAGAGATATGGTTATTGATCAGTTGTATCGAATAGACAAGTGAGTGTTGTTGATTGTCCTTCTACAACCATTGCATCTTCTGTTGGCTGTGTTACATATATTTGTGCAGAGCAGAAGACTATCTTCACAACATATAATAATAATGTATATAAATAAAATGAACAAATGCACAGAAAGAGACAGATGAACAGAGTGATGTTATACCAAAGCAGCATGCAGCCAGAACATGCAGGATCAGCCAGTTTCTCATGACTAGTCAGTCAGTTTGAAGTGTAAAAGGTAAGGAGCAGAACAATGCTGATCTATCTATCACAGAGCTTTGACACCCTCTGTCCTACTGTTGATGCTTCATGTTGTTCTGTATTACATGCAGTAGTAGACCATGGGGAGGTGTCTGTCTGTATGGCATCCTCTGATTCAGGGGTGTGTGTGCTTTGTTAGGTTGCCCCCTCAGGTTGACTTTCATACTACACCACCAAAATCAAATCAAATCAATGTTATTTGCCACAGTGAAATGCTTACTTACAAGCCCTTAACCAACAATGCAGTTGTAAGATAAAAAATGTTAAGTAAAAAATAGATAAGTAAAAAATAAAAAATAATTAAAGAGCACCAGTAAAATAAAATAACAGTGCGGAGGCTATATTCAGGGAGTACCGGTACAGAGTCAATGTGCGGGGGCACTGGTTAGTTGAGGTAATTGAGGTAATATGTACATGTGGGTAGAGTTAAAAAGACTATGCTTAGATAATAAACAGAGCAGCAGCAGCGTAAAATCACCACCTCAAGTGAACCCTGGCAAGACGGAGCTGCTCTTCCTCCCGGGGAAGGACTGCCCTTTCCATGATCTCGCCATCACGGTTGACAACTCCGTTGTGTCCTCCTCCCAGAGTGCGAAGAGCCTTGTCGTGACCCTGGACAACACCCTGTCGTTCTCCGCTAACATCAAGGCGGTGACCCGATCCTGCAGGTTCATGCTCTACAACATTCGGAGAGTACGACCCTGCCTTACACAGGAAGCGGCACAGGTCCTAATCCAGGCACTTGTCATCTCCCGTCTGGATTACTGCAACTCGCTGTTGGCTGGGCTCCCTGCCTGTGCCATTAAACCCCTACAACTCATCCAGAATGCCGCAGCCCGTCTGGTGTTCAACCTTCCCAAGTTCTCTCACGTCACCCCCCTCCGTCACCCCCCTCCTTCAGTTGTCAGAGCACCTTACCGATCACTGCACCTGTACACAGCCCATCTGAAATTAGCCCACCCAACTACCTCATCCCTATATTGTTATTTATTTTGCTCTTTTGCACCCCAGTATCTCTATTTGCACATAATCTCTTGCACATCTAGCATTCCAGTGTTAATACTATTGTAATTATTTTGCACTATAGCCTATTTATTGCCTTACCTCCATAACGTGCTACATTTGCACACACTGTATATATATTTTCTGTTGTATTTTTGACTTTATGTTTTTTACCCCATATGTAACTCTGTGTTGTTTTTATTGCACTGCTTTGCTTTATCTTGGCCAGGTCGCAGTTGTAAATGAGAACCTGTTCTCAACTGGCTTACCTGGTTAAATAAAGGTGAAATAATAAAAAAAAAAAAAAAAAAAAAAAAAAAACCCTCCTCCGCACACTCCTCTGGCTTCCAGTTGAAGCTTGCATCCGTTACAAGACCATGGTGCTTGCCTATGGAGCAGTGAGTGGAATGGCACCTCCGTACCTTCAGGCTCTGATCAGTCCCTACACCCAAACGAGGGCATTGCGTTCATCCACCTCTGGCCTGCTGGCTCCCCTTCCTCTGCGGAAGCATAGTTCCCGCTCAGCCCAGTCAAAACTGTTCGCTGCTCTGGCACCCCAATGGTGGAACAAGCTCCCTCACGACGCCAGGACAGCGGAGTCACTCACCACCTTCCGGAGACATTTGAAACCCCACCTCTTTAAGGAATACCTGGGATAGGATAAAGTAATCCTTCTACCCCCCCCCCCCCCCCCTTGAGCAAGGCACTTAACCCTAATTGCTCCTGTAAGTCGCTCTGGATAAGAGCGTCTGCTAAATGACTAAAATGTAAATGTAATGTAATGTAAAAGATGGAGTGCAGTGGGGTAGGGTGGGGGGGACAATGCAAATAGTCTGGGTAGCCACGATTAGCTGTTCAGGAGTCTTATGGCTTGGGGATAGAAGCTGTTGTGAAGCCATTTGGACCTAGATTTCGTGGTCCGGTACCAGGTGGCTGGAGTCTTTCACAATTTTTAGGGCCTTCCTCTGACACCGCCTGGTATATAGGTCCTGGATGGCAGGAAGCTTGGCCCCAGTGATGTACTGGGTCGTATGCACTACCCTCTGTAGCGCCTTGCGGTCGGAGGCCAGCAGTTGCCATACCAGGCAGTCATGCAACCAATCAGGATGCTCTCGATGGTGCAGCTATATAACTTTTTGAGGATCTGAGGACCCATGCCAAATCTTTTCAGTCTCCTTAGGGCGAATAGGCTTTGTCGTGCCCTCTTCACGTCTGTCTTGGTGTGTTTGGACCATGATAGTTTGTTGGTGATGTGGACAACAAGGAACTTGAAGCTCTCAGCCTGTTCCACTACAGCCCAAGCTGTGTAAATTGTGAGGAGGAGTAACTACAAACAATAATATTGTTGTACTTCGTTTAATTCCCAAGTGCTTTTCCAACCAATATTAAAATACCTGTCTAACTGAAATTGAAGACTAGAAGAGTGACAAGAAGACTAGAAGAGTGACAAATACATATTTCTCATAGTTCATTGAATATGAAGACAGAGAAACACTAGACAACCTGGTGATTGCACACAGCACAGGTGTGACCACACTTATCTGATCTCAACCTCTGCCATTATGATATCACATTGTGGTTTGATGTTTAATTATGTTCCACACAGCAACAAAGCATTTTTGGTCTGCAAGTTTTTGTACGGCATCTTATACACTTTGTATCACTGGGTATAATCCCTGAGAGCACAGTAGTAGAGAGCTGTGTCTGCCAGGGTTAGGCTTGTTATAACCAGTTCAGTTGATGTCTGAGACGTTTTGGATTTATATCTCTTATCAGGAATATGGTCAACACCGCTGTATGATCTGGCACCTTTATACAGTAGAAACTGAGGAGCCTGGTTAGAATAATGCCGGTACCAGTAAAGGTAAATATCATCGCTGCTTGTTTTATATGTACAGCTCATAGTCACTGATGATCCCTCAGTGGGGGTGTACTCCTCCTTGTCAGGAGTCACACTATCTCCAGATACCATTCCTGCAGAGGAAAAATTGATAATAAAAGATGATTGGAAACTCATGCTTATTATTAACATTTAAATGACTTTAATATAAATGTTTTCCTACCAATACCATAATAATAATCTGATTATAAGGATGCAAGGATTTCAAATGTTTAGGTATTGTTTACCTGTAGCCATAATCAGAATGATCAATAAACTGATTGATTTCTCCATCTTCAGGCTGATGTTTGCATGCATTCACTCTCCTCTTAAATGTTCTTCTGTGTGTCACTGTGTGAGGTGTACAGCCCTGGTTACGTCACACCCACCACATAAGTAAGGCTTGCATTTTTTCTACACTCGTGCCAAGGATACACTCGTGCCAAGGATACACAGTGGGCCGCAAAGCACAGTAGTACACAGCAGAATCAGACAGCTGTACCCTCTAGATCGTCAAGAGGACTGATTTGGTGATGGAACTGAGATGGGCATCAAATCTCTCCTTGAATTTATCATCAAAATCCCCTGATCCAATGACATCTTTCCACAAAACACATTCAGGGTAATTGTTTGTGGATTGAACGTACCAGAAGAGAGATGGAGCTGATAAACTGGTGTTGTAGTCAAATCAAATCAAATCAAATCAAATCAAATTTTATTGGTCACATGCGCCGAATACAACAGGTGCAGACATTACAGTGAAATGCTTACTTACAGCCCTTAACCAACAGTGCATTTATTTTAAACAAAAAAAGTAAGAATAAAACAACAACAAAAAAAGTGTTGAGAAAAAAAGAGCAGAAGTAAAAATAAAGTGACAGTAGGGAGGCTATATATACAATAGAATAAAGTGACAGTAGGGAGGCTATATATACAGGGGGGTACCGTTGCATAGTCAATGTGCGGGGGCACCGGCTAGTTGAGGTAGTTGAGGTAATATGTACATGTGGGTAGAGTTAAAGTGACTATGCATAAATACTTAACAGAGTAGCAGCAGCGTAAAAAGTATGGGGTGGGGGGGCAGTGCAAATAGTCCGGGTAGCCATGATTAGCTGTTCAGGAGTCTTATGGCTTGGGGGTAGAAGCTGTTGAGAAGTCTTTTGGACCTAGACTTGGCACTCCGGTACCGCTTGCCGTGCGGTAGCAGAGAGAACAGTCTATGACTAGGGTGACTGGAGTCTTTGACAATTTTGAGGGCCTTCCTCTGACACCGCCTGGTATAGAGGTCCTGGATGGCAGGGAGCTTTGCCCCTGTGATGTACTGGGCCGTACGCACTACCCTCTGTAGTGCCTTGCGGTCAGAGGCCAAGCAGTTGCCATACCAGGCGGTGATGCAACCAGTCAGGATGCCAAGCAGTTGCCATACCAGGCGGTGATGCAACCAGTCACAGTTGAGAGACGTGTTCTTCTTCATAAGCAGTCACTTCTCTCTTTGACTGACTAACACTGTCTGCTCCTCTGCACTCTGGAAACAAAGAAGAATACCTTTGTGATAAATGTCAGGATTCCAGTAACATCAGAGTATTGAGAAAAAGATAATGAGAGCCATATCCTACCAAAGAGGAGTGCAGCAAGAACAACAGAAGTACACAGCCAATGTCCCATACTTATCATATGATACAAAGACCAAACAAATTGATGTTACAATATAGAAACTGGTGTGCTCTCTTGATTCCTGTCTTTGTAGCAGCACAGGCCTAGACCATGCAGCACAGAACAGAGGGGCTGTTCAAATAGACAAGTCATTTCAGAGTGGAAAGCAACACTCACTTGGTACTGTGGCCCCCTTGTGGTTGATGCTGGCTTTTACATTAATCTACACAATACTGAGTATATATATACTGAGTATATATTTTTCACCTGAATTAATCTAGTCAGACACTACTAGCTGTATATGTTCTAATCCATGAGATATGTCAATGGAATTTTACTGTCTCTTACATCTACAATTAGAGCTGATTTGGAAGAGGGAGCTCTATTGGCATCAACAATGACTTACCGTATAATCATCATCATCATCATCACTATGATTATCATCATCTGCTACCACTAGTCTTGGTAGTATCAGGAAGGTAGTGAGAAGGTTGCTGTGTCAATTTCAAAGTGGTGTTGAATACTGTACAGACAGGTGTATTGTCATTGTGTAGCTCAGTATGTTTTTGTAAGGGGGCTGTATATCCTGTTGTCACAGTGGGCTTCAGAGCACAGTAGTACACAGCAGAGTCAGACAGCTGCACCCTCTGGATCGTCAAGGGGACTGATTTGGAGTCTTTATCTAGATGGGCATCAAATCTCTCCTTGAACTCAGTGGCATTTGCACTTCCAAAAGGAAAGCGACCCAGCATGAACTTTGGGAAGCCATTTACTTTATGCTTGTACCAGAACAGGTAGATATTATTAATATTAACTGCATCAAATTGACAGTCCAATGTGACCTGTCCTCCCTCAGTAGCGATCACATCTCCTGGAGGCTGGGTGACTGTGTCTTCTCCTCTGCATTCTGGAAAGGAATGAGAAAAGTATCAAGCAACATGATATACATTTTAAATTCATTCATTTAGCAGACTTATCCAGAGCGACTTACAGTAGTGAGTGCATACATTTTTGTACTTTTTCATGCTGGTCCCCCGTGGGATTCTAACCCACAACCCTGGTGTTGCAAGCACCATACTCTATAACTGAGCAACACGGGACCACACTTGATAGATGAAAGATAGACATATTAAATGAATACTGGTAGTGTTATACTGAAAAATATGTTAGAAAAAAGAAAGGGATGGGAGCAAAGACAGTAAATTAGGAAAATAATATTATCATACCATAACAACATGCAGCAAGAATCAGTAAATTCCTCAGCCAGGGTTCCATGCCTACAGTGAGATGGGTGGGAGAAGAGTAAAACACACTGATGTATGCTACATGTGACATAAGACTATGAAATCATTGTCTCCTCCTCTTTCAGTGTATCATCAAACATTGAGAAGCTTGTGTCATTGTCTGAACAACACTCTACCCTGTGTTGTTGTACAATGACTGAATATCCTGTTGTCACAGTGGGCTTCAGAGCACAGTAGTACACAGCAGAGTCAGACAGCTGCAACCTCTGGATCGTCAAGGGGACAGAGCTAGATGTGAAATTCAGCCTAGAATCAAACCTCTTCTGAACTCATCACTATTGCTACCTTCTGAATAACAATCTCTTCTCAGGATATACTGAGGAGAGTCCCTAGTTAACTGGATGTACCAGAAGAGATCAGGAGATGGACTACTGCTAGTGTAGTTACAGCTGAGTGTTACCAGTCCTCCTTCAAGGGCAGTAACATGTCCACTCTGCTGGTCAACAGCCTCTTCACCTTTGCAATCTGAAAAAATATATTTGGGGTTTTATAATACATAATAGGGTAAGGTTCAGAGAATGAGAATGTAGAAAGGAGAAGCACTATACTGTACCAAAATAGCATGCAGCCAGGATAAGTACAGTATTCCTAAGCCAAGGGGCCATTATGATTCATGTATAGAGGAAGAATAGACTGTTATAGTCTTTATGTTCCATCCACTGTAGCTGAGAAGTCTCATAATTGTGGGGCTCTGCAGTAGGGGAGGAGCTTAAGGTATATTCAATTTAGTTGAACTGCTAGAAGGATTCCCTTTGAAATGCTGCCCTTCTCAGGTTGATTTAGTTTGATATGCTAATTGTGGGGGAAATTATACCACAACGACACCTGTAAAGTTATAAATTTACATATGTAATTATTTTAAGATGGTCATACCATGGATCATTTAGCTATTTGATTTGGAAGTTTAGGACCCCTTTAGGTATAAAAAAATATATAACAAAATTATTTGATAAAATATTCAAATTTGGCCTTTACTACCAAATCCCATAGAAACGCATTGAATAACAGTCATAAAAGACAAGAAATTACATTCAAAAAATAAATCATACGGAACAAGGTTTTAAGCGTATGTTCTAAATATAGGAGATATAAGAAAGATCAGGAAATATACATATATATAAAAAATATATATATTTTACCCCTTAAATTATCCATCATGTTTGTGAGAGTCTCTGCTTTTCACAGTGGGGTTACAGTAGTTTGTAGCCCAAACGGTTCGTACGCTACACATGTATTCGTGAGAGTTTCATCTTTCAATAGAGTGGTCATATTATTTTTCTACGACAAACCGTTCGGACGCTACAGACGTTTTTGTGAGAAGACCGATTTTCGGGATGTCACATGGTTTGACAAACACTGCTGTAGCTCAGCCACCTTCCACCACAGATGCGGAACACCGCCATAGGCTGATGCGTTGGATTGAGATGCAGCCCATGCTTAAAGGAATAGAAGCAAACTGATGAGACCTATTGACTCTCACTAGTAACTTGCCCTTGATAATACAATGTCAAGGTTTCACCTTGATGAGCAGAATGTTGAACACTAGATGGAACTATTGTGTCATTATTATACATAGAAAAACCTTGTCACTGGACTATAGGAGGAGCACAGACAAGGAAGATCTATCATATAACTGATCAGGAGGCAGAGAGAACATCTCAGTAGTTGGTTGGAGAGGGAGGAGCAGTGGATGAGCCACCTGGTTCACTTGGGCCTGATCAACCCATCTTTCAGAAGGTGTAGTGGGCAGCACATGTAGGATAAGAAGGTACCTCACCTGAAGATCAGCAGAAATGGCTGTTTGTGGGTAAATATAAAGAAAACCCTTCATAATTTTTAGTCGCTCTTCAACAGTTTGATACACATTTCAATGATAACTAATTGTAGCGTTTTCGGCACTGGGTTCTTTGTAAGGCAGGTTTTACACATACAAATACACAACACCAGTCCAAGTGAAGGGTTAAACCGGTTTATTACAATCAGGCTTTGACAGCGTTGGTTGATATACAAAACCCAAAACAAACTAAGTAAACACTTCGCCACCAGTCTTTGGGGGTTCAATCCTTATTGAAATCATAATTTCCTTTCGTTCTATAAAACCTACTTCTCCACCGTACGCTCTGTCTCTCCAATAACCTCCTACTCCGTCACCTGCCGGGGTCAACAAAAAAGACAAAGAAAGAAAACCCAGGGCGCGGTTAAGTTTAGTAACTGATTGGTTTCACCTGTCTGCAGTTTGGCTCTGATTACAACTGGAAACAGGTGTGGTCTGGTCTGCTGCAGACTAGAAGTTTCCGCTGAGCTGTCTGTGGCCCTGCCTCTGGGGAATACTTCACATTGCTGTCCGTGGTCCTGGCAGCCAAAAAAACAAAGGAACCTCGCAGGTACATAACGTCCATCCACAAAATAACCCCTGAAACCGCTACAATATTATGAAAATTCATAACGGCTATTGTAAATATTAGAATATTTTTCTTATAATCAATCTTACAATCAAAGTTTCACATTCAACCTTTTAGTGTGAATAACAAAATAAAACCACCTTAAGGACAGGTGAAACATTCCAGTCATAGCCTTTATTTATAGGAGACATTAACATCATTCATTAGTGTTTTGATGTCTACAAAGTAAGGGTTAGAGAAAAGTTTTAAAAAATAACCCAGATAAATTCCTGCTGATGTGGTCCCTGCTGATTTTTTTTTACAGTATGTGTAGGTTTCCTTTCACTGTGGGCCTCACAGCACAGTAGTACAGAGCAGAGTCTGTCACTTCAGCAGAAGATCTCCCCAGATTCATCATTTAGTTTGACTGACAGTCGAGGAGCCAGACCTGGAGCCCGTGATGGAGACCCAACACCATGCAGGATAAGCAGGATATACTGAGGTGCTGATCCAGGGTCCTGGAGATACCATTGAAGAGAGATTTTTTTTTTTCGACACATCAACAATTAGTTTAGATTCAACATAAAACAATTAATTAGATTACTTACATGCAAGTACTAAAAGCAAAATAAATGTGGGTATTGACATTGTGGCTGAAACTGGAAGTTAAAATGATAAAACACAGCACAGCAAGATATGTGTATACTAAAAAACATCCTCCTCCTCTAGTTTTGAAGGGACCATCTGTTCTCAGACCTTTGAACCCCCACCCCAAAATACAGAGAGTTGTCAGATGAGCAGAAGTAACAGCAGACTTCTTGCTGCAGCTTGATGCCACTTTCACATCCTCAAAATGCAGGGCTGCACTGAAATATGATTACCTTAGTCTCCCTCTATTGGATATTGGATAAAACTGTGTTATTTATCCCCATTTACTTTCTTGATTTTAGGTCAACAGAGTTGGCAGAAGGATCTGTCCTGTCTACTGTGATGTCATAGGGGGAAAACATTGCTTGAAGGGACGATCTGTTAGATAATTCATCTATTCAACATGAGGCATTCATTTTCACAGTTTATTTTGGTTTCATATTTAAATATAAAATCTAAAGTATAAATCAGCAAAACGATCAGACAGCATTATTGGGTTTCTCTCACTTTTCCATTCAACATTTTAATCAACATATTCTTGTGTTGTTAATTTAAAATATTGAAGTGTTCATTTTCAGTGTAGGTGTGTTTTATCTATACAAGGTAATGATAACTTTTAAAATTAGTGATTGGATATGAAGAATAGCATAAAACTCACCAACTAGAGCAAATATTAAATTTATCCCAGTATCATTCTGGTAAGTGTTATTTAACACAGTGAAAGTATAGTTATGACAGAATGCCTACCCTGGTTTCTCACTGTCATTTCCTTTCCTCTGCCTCAATTATGTAACACCTCCCCTTGACTTAAAAAATGGCACACAACAAAAAGTACGTGACACACACCCACGTGCACACACAGTGTTTTTGTAAGGGGGCTGTATATCCTGTTGTCACTGTGGGCCTCAGAGCACAGTAGTACACAGCAGAGTCAGACAGCTGCAACCCCTGGATCATCAAGGGGACTGATTGTGTCTTGGCATTTAGAATGGCATCAAATCTCTCCTTGAACCCTGCAGCATTGTCTCCAGATCCATAAGAATAACGGCTCAGCATATATTTAGGGAAGTCATTTGATTCTTGTTTGTACCAATAAAGATATGCATTAGTATCACTGGTGTTATATTGACAACTCAGTGTTACCAGTCCTCCTTCTGTAGCAATCACACCTCCTGGTTGCTGTTGAACATGGTCTCCTGAGCACTCTAGAAGACAAAAAAATATAAAGTGAGTGACAATGAAAGATTTAAAAAAGGAAAATTAGATAGATGACGAAATGGTTCCATCTTACCGAAGCACAGTACAGCAAGAACCAGCCAGATGATCAGACAGAGTACCATGGTTATGAAGAACACACAGAGAGTGACTGTGAGTTACAGTAAGAGGTAGAGATCCTCTCTCTCTCTTCCATGTCCATCTCAGCCTGTATATCACCATCAACTGACAGACATGAAGGAGGAGCCTGTTCAGAGAGGGGTAAGACTGTATAAAAATGTATGGGTCAATATTACCTCGTCAGTATTATATTAGCACTCATTGCAGTACATTAGAGACAGAGTGAAACGCCTACGTCTAGCTAAAATAATATGGTAAGTATTGACAATGACATAAATATTGTATGAAGTGAGTATGATTAACTTATTTGAAAATAAATGTTTGAAAACAGACACATATTCAATTCATATTCTTCTACTGTATATGCGGGACCAAATAATTCACAACAATATGTCTCCCGTAATTATATGTATAGTTTGAACAGGATCATTTCTGTAGCTCCTCCCTTTGACATAAAACCCATTCAATGATGGCTCTTAAGGAAGTTAGGTGGTAGTGATGAAGGTTTGGTTTACTAAATGACAGTAAAGATATCATCAATGGCATTTCAATGAGAGAATATTTAGAACGTTAAGTCATATGACATTTCTGATATTCATGATATATTTACTTTATTTCCAAATATAAAATGTGGTCACTGGTAGTTGAACAAGCAAATACCTTTCATATTTAAATAAGGGAATATAATGGATGGGAGGTAAGATCTATTCAGACTCAGGTTCTAGGGGTCTCAGGTTAGATATAAGCACTCTTTGCAGTACATTAGCCAAAGTGAAAAGCTTACATCTAGCTCACAAGAAATGAAAAGTAGCTTAAAGCAATTGTCAATTACATAAATGTTCCATGAAGTGAGTATGATGAACATATTTTTATTTATTTATTATTATTTTTTTTGGGGGGGGGAAAGTACACATACTCTATTATAATTCAGGTACAAACACTCATGTCTCCTACAGAGTATCTAATTCAGGTCTACTACTGTACATAAAGTATATTGAAATACATATAGTGCTTTGGTCCCAACTTTTCAGTGGTACCGTATGCATCTATGGACACATTTGAAACCTATAGTTTTTGTAAGGGGGCTGTATCTCCTGTTGTCACAGTGGACCTCAGAGCACAGTAGTACACAGCAGAGTCAGACAGCTGCACCCTCTGGATCATCAAGGGGACTGATTTTGCTGTGAAATTTAGACGGGCATCAAATCTGTCCTTGAACTCAGTAGCAGCTTCCCCAGGTGAAAATGTATCCCTTCTCAGCATAAATATGGGCTTGCCATTTGCTTGTTGTTTGTACCAAAAGAGATATGGTGATTGATCAGTTGTAATGAATAGACAAGTGAGTGTTTTTGGTTGTCCTTCTAAGACCATTACATCTTCTGTTGGCTGTGTTACATTCTCTTCTGCTCTGCACCCTGAAAAGAAAGATAAATATATCTTCACAACATATAATAATAATGTATCTAAATATAATGAACAAATGCACAGAAAGAGACAGATGAACAAAGTGATGTTATACCAAAGCAGCATGCAGCCAGAACATGCAGGATCAGCCAGTTTCTCATGACTAGTCAGTCAGTTTGAAGTGTAAAAGGTAAGGAGCAGAACAATGCTGATCTATCTATCACAGAGCTTTGACACCCTCTGTCCTACTGTTGATGCTTCATGTTGTTCTGTATTACATGCAGTAGTAGACCATGGGGAGGTGTCTGTCTGTATGGCATCCTCTGATTCAGGTGTGTGTTCTTTGTTAGGTTGCCCCCTCAGGTTGACTGTCATACTACACCACCAAGCAGTGTGAATTGTGAGGAGTAACTACAAACAATAATATTTTTGCACTTTGTCATATTCCCAAGTGCTTTTCCAACCGATATCAAAATATCTGTCTAGGTGGAATTCAAGACTACTGATATGAAGACAGAGAAACACTAGACCTCCTGGTGATTGCACACAGACAGCACTGATGTGACCACATTCTCTGATCTCAACCTCTGACATTATGAGATCAATGTGTGGTTTGATGTTACATTTGTATCCCTGCTTAATCACAGCATTTTTGGTCTGCAGGTTCTTGTATAGGGTTTTATAGACGTTGTATCACTGGGTATATTCCCTGAGAGCACAGTAGTAGGGATCTGTGTCTGCCAGGGTTAGGCTTGTTATAACCAGTTCAGGTGATGTCCGAGACGTTTTGGATGTATATCTCTTATCAGGGACATGTTCACTACCACTCTGTGATCTAGCACCTTTATACAGTAGAAACTGAAGAGCCTGGTTAGGATAATGCCAGTACAAGTAAAGGTCAATATAATTCCTGTTTATTTTGTTCTGCAGGTGTTTGTACAGGGTCTTTTATGGATCACTGGTTATAACAATCACTGAGAGCACAGTAGTAGAGAGATTAGTCTGCCAGGGTTAGGTGTGTTATGATCAGTTCAGTTGATGTCCGGGACGTTGCGGATGTATATTTCTTATCAGGGATATGTTCACTACGGCTCTGTGATATGGCAGCTTTATACACAGCCTGGTGTCATAGACTAGACGTAACATAGTAAATGTAAATCCGGGACAGTCAAATAAGTATGGTATGTTATGTTTGGTATGGTTACATAAGACAGATGGTTACTTAAGGCAATAACAAAAGTAGGGTGGTTAGTCAGGGTGGATGGTTGGGCGTATAACGTGAACGTCTAACAACCCTAAAGTTGTGAGTTCAAATCACATCATGGACAACTTAAGCATTTTAGCTAATTAGATCATTTTCTACTACTACTACTTTTTAGGTACTTTGCAATGATTTAGAATGTTAGCTAACCCTTCCCCTAACCCTTACCTTAACCCAATAACCTAACTCCTAACTTAACCCTAATCTTAACCCTAACCCCTAACCCTAACCTAGCTAGCCACCTAACTACAATACGTAACATATCATACATTTTGCAAATTCGTAACATATAAAACAAATTGTAATTCGTAACATATCATACGAAATTGGGTGTCTCGGATTTACATACAGAATAATATGAAATGATCTGAGACCAGGTTGCTATACAGCAGAAACTGAGGGGCCTGGTTAGAATAATGCAGGTACCAGTAAAGGTAAACATAATTACAGCTCAGAGTCACAGGTTTTCCCTCTGTACTGATGACTTCATGATTTACAGGAGTAATGTGATCCCCTGCAATCTGTCCTGTAAAGATAATATAGAAACAAAATCAATTGAAAATGATCGGAAGAAGTTCAGGAGTAAAAACAAACAAAATATAATTATTGACTGTGTCCATAAAATGTACAGTGGGGAAAAAAAGTATTTAGTCAGCCACCAATTGTGCAAGTTTTGTGCACTTAAAAAGATGAGAGAGGCCTGTAATTTTCATCATAGGTACACGTCAACTATGACAGACAAATTGAGAGAAAAAAAATCCAGAAAATCACATTGTAGGATTTTTAATGAATTTATTTGCAAATTATGGTGGAAAATAAGTATTTGGTCACCTACAAACAAGCAAGATTTCTGGCTCTCACAGACATGTAACTTCTTCTTTAAGAGGCTCCTCTGTCCTCCACTCGTTACCTGTATTAATGGCACCTGTTTGAACTTGTTATCAGTATAAAAGACACCTGTCCACAACCTCAAACAGTCACACTCCAAACTCCACTATGGCCAAGACCAAAGAGCTGTCAAAGGACACCAGAAACAAAATTGTAGACCTGCACCAGGCTGTGAAGACTGAATCTGCAATAGGTAAGCAGCTTGGTTTGAAGAAATCAACTGTGGTAGCAATTATTAGGAAATGGAAGACATACAAGACCACTGATAATCTCCCTCGATCTGGGGCTCCACGCAAGATCTCACCCCGTGGGGTCAAAATGATCACAAGAACGGTATGCAAAAATCCCAGAACCACACGGGGGGACCTAGTGAATGACCTGCAGAGAGCTGGGACCAAAGTAACAAAGCCTACCATCAGTAACACACTACGCCGCCAGGGACTCAAATCCTGCAGTGCCAGACGTGTCCCCCTGCTTAAGCCAGTACATGTCCAGGCCCGTCTGAAGTTTGCTAGAGTGCATTTGGATTATCCAGAAGAGTATTGGGAGAATGTCATATGGTCAGATGAAACCAAAATATAACTTTTTGGTAAAAACTCAACTCATCGTGTTTGGAGGACAAAGAATGCTACGTTGCATCCAAAGAACACCATACCTACTGTGAAGCATGGGGGTGGAAACATCATGCTTTGGGGCTGCTTTTCTGCAAAGGGACCAGGACGACTGATCCGTGTAAAGGAAAGAATGAATTGGGCCATGTATCGTGAGATTTTGAGTGAAAACCTCCTTCCATCAGCAAGGGCATTGAAGATGAAACGTGGCTGGGTCTTTCAGCATGACAATGATCCCAAACACACCACCCGGGCAACGAAGGAGTGGCTTCGTAAGAAGCATTTCAAGGTCCTGGAGTGGCCTAGCCAGTCTCCAGATCTCAACCCCATAGAAAATCTTTGGAGGGAGTTGAAAGTCTGTGTTGCCCAGCGACAGCCCCAAAACATCACTGCTCTAGAGGAGATCTGCATGGAGGAATGGGCCAAAATACCAGCAAAAGTGTGTGAAAACCTTGTGAAGACTTACAGAAAACGTTTGACCTGTGTCTTTGCCAACAAAGGGTATATAACAAAGTATTGAGAAACTTTTGTTATTGACCAAATACTTATTTTCCACCATAATTTGCAAATAAATTCATTAAAAATCCTACAATGTGATTTTCTGGGAAAAAAAATATCATTTTGTCTGTCATAGTTGACGTGTACCTATGATGAAAATTACAGGCCTCAATCATCTTTTTAAGTGGGAGAACTTGCACAATTGGTGGCTGACTAAATACTTTTTTCCCCACTGTATATAGAATGTATAAGCATGAAGTAGAGGCCTTAGCATTGTTGGTTCACTAGTTTACTCAAATTAGGGATGGGATGGTGGGGTTGGAAAGTAATAAGGGGAAATATATATATATTTGAAAGGATATGTATGTATGTATGTGTATATATATATATGCGAGAATTTTTTTTGGGATTGGAAGTGATGCAGACAATTACATTGATGGAAGTTACAATCTATCTGCAATATTAAAGCTGATCTACCCCCTAAAAAATTTTTTTTACAGGGGTAATGTAATCCCCAGCAATCTGTCCTGTACAGATAATTTAGAAACAAAATCAATAGACAGAAGTTAAAAAAAGTAATTACCATCAACAATACAGGCTCACCTGTACAAAATGTAAAGAACATCCACTACATCTCTGTCTGGAGTAATTATGGCTTCAACACTTGTACCTGTAAAAAATAACAACATGGATTACAGAGTCAATGTAGACTGCGTACAGTATATCCACACTTGGTGTTTCAAAGTGTATTACCACTTGATATTGATAATACCATATTGTAATGAATACTGAAAAGTGTACATTCTGTTAGGACACATTCGGTTAAAGGAGAGTGAATTCTTACCTACAAGTGAACACAAAAACAAGACTGAATAGAGCAGCATCATAGCCGCTGGGTGTTAGACAGAGACTCTCTGTAAAAGGATCTTCTCTTGGAACATTCACTCTCTGGGTGAATCAGTTCCACTCATTACATGTTAAGTGTAACATTATGATCCTCCTCTTGACGCAATAGAATGGGTGCATGTTGACTCCACTTGATGGCACTATTGTCAAATTAAGAGTAGAAATACTCTCTCAGGCGATGTTAGGTTTTTGTAGTGTTTCTGGGTTTCCTGTCACTGTGGGCATCAGAGCACAGTAGTACAGAGCAGAGTCTGTCACTTCAGCAGAGGAGATCTCCAGATCCACACGGGTCTTCTCTTTGTTCAGTTTAACAGTGAGGTGAGGGTATGGAGGTTTAGCTCTCACTACAGTCCTAGAGGCATGGTGGATGAAGAGGAGGAATTGGGGAGCTGATCCTGGATACTGTTTATACCACAGTACACAGTACACAACTTGTCAATGAACATAATAATAATGTCTGTAAGTAAATGGCAGTATAGTCTACCCTAACAAAGTTACTTTTAAAATGTATGATCAATTTCTGTTGGATATTCACTTTCTGCTTCACACTCATTAAATGTCTATTATTTTGAGATGTATATGTATTGCGCCGAAATTATGAAATACATCAGCCAATTCAGAAGGGGAGGGATAACCTTTGGAGGGAGCTTCCTTTTTAAGGTAGCTCTCGAGACTAGAGTTTATTTCTGGGACCAACAGTTATTATAACTGGGCTAGCATTGCCTATCATTCGACATTCATTGGAATGTTCTGTCCATAAGGTTTCTGGCACCTGAGACAAAATAGACTGGGAGGCAGTGTCAGACCCCTACTCCTCCTGGAGGAGTGGTTCAATTTGCCTGCTTACTGATTGGTTTAATAACTCATCGTTTGGGATATCAATGAAAACTCCATCTGGGGTACAGTAAATTGTAGCATTAAGTTTAGTTAACAAGTCTCTACCTAGCAAATAAACGGTTGGGTGGGTGAATACAGAAAATCATTTTCAACATTCAGTGGTCCTATGGAATAGGGCATGGGTTTTGTTTCAAAATGTATTACTGGGGTGGAGGAAATCCCATAAGCGTTTCAGCACCTGTATCTACCAACATTGGAATTTCCTTCCCCTGTATGTTTACCATAATGTTTGGGCCAGATTGGTCTACTTATATCTGTGTGTACTGCTGTAGTGGGTTTGCTGTATTAAAGATGTTGTCTCCCCTGAGGGGCGTCCCTATTGTGACTGGTTAATTTAATTTAGTTCTTGACGAAGACTCTGATTTAACATGGCAATGATATTTTGAGTTGGAAGCTGTTTTAAAAGCATAGAAAATGCACCAATCTTTGTCTGTGGCTTTATTTCCAAAACCCTTTAGACAGTCATACTCATCAGAAAACTTGGTAGTGGCCATTCCATCAGTCCTCTTAGTTATGAGGGCCCTGCATGGCTCTCCTTCTCCGATGACCATCTAATTCTGGGCCTGCGTTGGTCCCTTTGGCTCAGGACTCATCTCACCCTCTGTCAGGTTTCCGCATTGAGGGTGGTCAGAAGAACTTGGTACGGCCCTCTCCAATGGGGGTCCTTCCAGCTCTTTCTCCTGAAGTATTTGACCACCACAAAATCACCTGGGTTCAAATAGTACTCATCTCCACCTGCCAGGTTCGGCAAAAACACCTTCACCCGGGGGAAAGAGTCTTAAGAACACTGTTAAGGGTGACAAAATACTCAACCATGTCTTCCTCCATTCCTTGCAGGGACAACCTGTTCTCTGGAAATACTCTTCAGTACATTGTTAGTCATGCAAATCAAACATTGTACAACACCACCACCAGATGCATTTTCTGCAAACATAGCAAAACCTACTGTAAACCAATATTTATTTACAAGATCCACCTACTTTACACATATATTTATTTGCAAGATCCACCATCCCTCCTTTTGACACATGGTCTTGACCATGTGACAATTTGGCAAGGAATTGGAAAGTACAACGGGGCATGGCTGGTCTTCTCTCATCCAGACATACACCCAAGGCATCCTTCCAAGATAGAGTGAGAGGAGATGCTGTTTACAATTCAAGGCTTATCTCTTCAGACATTAACATTTTCCCTCACACTACCAATACCATAATTGAATAATCTGAATATAAGGATGCAAGCAGTTCAAATGTTTAGGTATTGTTGCACTGATTGATTTCTCCATCTTCAGGCTGATGTTTGAATGCATTCACTCTCCTCTGGAATGTTCTTCTGTGTGTCACTGTGTGAGGTGTACAGCCCTGCAAACGTCCCACCTACCTCAGAAGTAAGGCTTGTATTTTTTCTACACTAGTGCCAAGGATACACTAGTTTTTGTAGGGGGTCTGTATATCCTGTTGTCACAGTGGACCTCAGAGCACATTAGTACACAGCAGAGTCAGACAACTGCAACCTCTGGATCATCAAGTGGACTGATTTATGATGGAATTGAGATGGGCATCAAATCTCCACTTGAGTCTATCATCAGAATCCCCTGGTCCAATGACATCCTTCCACAAAACATATTCAGGGTAATCGTTTGTGGAGATGGAGCTGATAAACTGGTGTTATACTCAAAGTTGAGAGACACATCTTCCCCTTCATAATCAGTCTCTTTTCTCTTTGACTGAGTAACACTGTCTGCTCCTCTGCACTCTGGAAACAAATAAGAATATTGTTATAGTGTGGACACTATATAAATAATTCCTACTGAATAGGTGGTATACTTAACTGCAGTATAGTATTATTGCTATTCATGGGATTATGGTTATTATGGACATTGGTGTTGACAGTGACCTTTACCCTCCTGTGATGTCATCACCCAGAGTTGGCACCGAATTAACGGGACACTACCTCATGTTGAGTTGGGTATATTGCTCTCCTGTTTTCTACTGTTTGTACATGACTGTAACCCTTTATTTTGTAGTTTGCAAGTAAAGGCAATGAACATTGAAACGCGTGTGGATAATCCTCGTAAAGTTACCACAAATACCTTTGTGCAGCGATAACAACAGAGGTCCACAGCCAATCATATTATCATAGGATACAAAGACCAAGACAAACTGATGTTACAATATAGAAACTGGTGTGCTCTCTTGATTCCTGTCTTTGTAGCAGCACAGGCCTAGACCATGCAGCATAGAACAGAGGGGATGTTCAAATAGACAAGTCATTTCAGAGTAGAAAGCAACACTCACTTGGTAATGTGGTCACCTTGTGGTTGATGCTGGCTTTTCCATTACTCTGTACACAACACAGTATTGCATTTTCTAAATTCATCTTGTAACACTGGGCTATTCTATAAGAAAACAAAAGAAATGGTCTATTTTCAAAACCATTAGATATTGTAATAGGATTGTAATGTCTCTTACATCTACATTTAGAGCTTTATTGTAAGAGGTAGCTTTATTGTCATCCAAAATGACTTACTGCATCATCAACATCATCATCATCATCATCATCATCATCACTATGATTATCATCATCTGCTACCACTCGTCTTGGTAGTATCAGGAAGGTAGTGAGAAGGTTACTATGTCAATTTCAGAGTGGTGTTGTATATTGTACAGACAGGTGTATTGTCATTGTGTAGCTCAGTATGATTTTGTAAGGGGGCTGTATATCCTGTTGTCACAGTGGGCTTCAGAGCACAGTAGTACACAGCAGAGTCAGATAGCTGCACCCTCTGGATCGTCAAGGGGACTGATTTGGAGTCTGTATCGAGATGGGCATCAAATCTATCCTCAAAATCAGTTCCATTTTTACTTCCAAAAGAAGAACGGCCCAGCATAAACCTCGGGAAGTCATTTGCTTCATACTTGTACCAGAACAGATTTAGACTTGTAGAAACTGAAGTCTCAAATTGACAGTCCAATGTGACTTGTCCTCCCTCAGTAGTGATCACATCTCCTGGTGGCTGAGTGACTGAGTCTTCTCCTCTGCATTCTGGAAATTGACATACATTTGTATTAGGGGAGAGAGAAGATAAGCAATATGATAGCGGGAATTAAAATGTATAAAATTAGTAGGAGTAGTATAAAACTGAAAGATATATTTGAAAGCATAAAGGGCTTGGAGCAAAGGCAGTAAACAAATAAGGAAAGTAATATTATCTTACCATAAAAAAATGTAGCAAGAACCAGTAAATTCCTCAGCCAGGGTTCCATACCTGCTACTGTGAGATCAGTGGGAGAAGAGTAATACCACTCTGATGTAACTAGACCATGATGAGACTATGAACTCCTTGTCTCCTCCTCTTTCTGTGTATCGTCAAACATTGAGAAGCTTGTGACATTGTCTGAACAACACTCTACCCTGAGTTTGTGTACAGTGACTGAATCTCCTGTTGTCACAGTGGGCTTCAGAGCACAGTAGTACACAGCAGAGTCAGACAGCTGCAACCTCTGGATCATCAAGGGGACAGAGCTAGATGTGACATTCAGCCTTGAATCAAACCTCTCTTTGAACTCATCACTATTGCTCCCTTCTGAATAACGATCTCTTCTCAGGACATACTGAGGAGAGTCCCTAGTTAACTGGATGTACCAGAAGAGATTAGAAGATGGACTACTGGTAGTGTAGTTACAGCTGAGTGTTACCAGTCCTCCTTCAAGGGCAGTAACATGTCCACTCTGCTGGTCAACAGCCTCTTCACCTTTGCAATCTGCAAAAAAAATATTTGGGGTTTTATAATACATAATATGCTAAGGTTCAGAGAATGAGAATGTAGAAAGGAGAAGCACTATACTGTACCAAAATAGCATGCAGCCAGGATTAGTATAGTATTCCTAAGCCAAGGTGCCATTATGATTCATGTATAGAGGAAGAATAGACTGTTATAGACTTTATGTTCCATCCACTGTAGCTGAGAAGTCTCATAATTGTAGGGCTCTGCAGCAGGGGAGGAGCTAATTGTATATTCAATTTAGGTGAACTGATAGAGGGATTCCCTGTGAAATGCTGCCCTTCTCAGGTTGATTTAGTTTGATATGCTAATTGTGGGGGAAATTATACCACAACGACACCTGTAAAGTGTTGACATGCTGCATGCATCATTTAATTCTCTAGAGTCTAAGAGGTTGGGGACGGGTGTTATAAATTGACATATGTAATCATTTTTAAATGGTCATACCATGGATCATTTAGCTATTTGATTTGGAATTTTAGGACCCCTTTAGGTATAAAAAAAGATAGATAAAAATTATTTGATAAAATATTGAATTTCGCCTTTACTACCAAATCCCATAGAAACGCATTGAAAAACACAGTCATAAATAACAAGAAATGACATTCAAAAAATAAATCATACGGAATAAGGTTTTAAGTGTATGTTCTATATTTAGGAGATATAAGAAAGCCCAGGAAATATACATATATATATTTTAAAATTACACATATTTAACCCCTTAAATTATCCATCATGTTCGTGAGAGTCTCCCCTTTTCACAGTGGGGTCACATTCGTTTGTAGTCCAAACGGTTCATACTCTACATACGTATTGGTGAGAGTCTCATCTTTCAATAGAGTGGTAATATAATTTTTCTAGTCCAAACCGTTCGGACGCTACAGATGTTTTTGTGAGAAGACCGATTTCCGTGATGTCACATGGTTTGACAAACACCGCTGTAGCTCGGCCACCTTCCACCACAGATGCGGAAGACCGCCATAGGCTGATGCGGTGGATTGAGATGCAGCTCATGCAAAAAAACAGATATTTCTTGCTTAAAGGAATAGAAGCAAACTGATGAGACTCCACTGACACCTATTGACTCTCACTAGTAACTTGCCCTTGATAATACAATGTCAAGGTTTCACCTTGATGAGCAGAATGTTGAACACTAGATGGAACTATTGTATCATTATTATACATAGAAAAACCTTGTCACTGGACTTCATAACTGTGGAGGGCAGTCTGTAGGAGGAGCACAGACAAAGAAGATCTGTCACGTAACTGATCAGGAGGCAGAGAGAACATCTCAGTGGTTGAGGCTGAAGAGTGAGAAGCAGTGGATAAACCACCTGGTTCACTTGGGCCTGATTGTCACGCCCTGGCTCTGGGGACTCTTATATGTTGAGCCAGGGTGTTAGTTTCTATGTTTAGTGTTCTATGTTCATGTTCTAGTTCATGTGTTTCTATGTTGGCCGGGGTGGTTCCCAATCAGAGGTAGCTGTGGCTTGTTGTCTCTGATTGGGAACCATACTTAGGCAGCCTGTTTTGCACTTGTCATTTGTGGGATCTTGTTCCGGAGAGGTTTGTGTTTGTTAACCTTAGGACTTCACGTATCGTTTTGTTGCTTTGTTATGGTTATTTAAAGTACTCATTAAAAGATGTACGCATATCACGCTGCGCCTTGGTCCGGTTCTTACGACGATCGTGACAGAAGATCCCACCAAATAAGGACCAAGCAGCGTGTCCAGGAGCAAACGGCGGAGGTAACGCTAGTGGATGTCCTCCTCGGTTGGGGGAGGATCACTGAGGAGGAGGCCATCCGCTACCGGAGGGCGATGAGGGAGGATGTCCAGGCAGGAGAGGAGAAGCGGCGCCAACCGGGCCGTCGTCGGACAGGCGAGAGGCAACCCCGATACATTTTTTTGGGGGGGCACACGGCATGGACGACGGGGCTGCTGGAGGCAGCTACAGGGCGAGTTTGTGGACTAGGAGAGGAGGCCACCAGGTTACGGGGGCCATTGGTCAGGAGGGAGAAGGAGAGTGTGGAGGCACGGCTAGAGGAACTGAGTAGGCAGCAGAGGGAGCGGAGGTTTATGAGGAAACCCAGTCCCGCTCCTCGCACCAAGCAAGTGGTGTGTGTCACCAGTCCGGTCCGACCCGTTCCTGATTCCCGAACAAGGCCAGTGGTGCGTGTTCCCAGTCCGGCCCGACCCGTTCCCGCTCCCCGCACTAAGTTAGTGGTGCGTGTTCCCAGTCCGGCCCGACCCGTTCCTGCTCCCCGCACTAAGTTAGTGGTGCGTGTTCCCAGTACGGCCCAACCCATTCCTGCTCCCCGCACTAAGTTAGTGGTGCGTGTTCCCAGTCCGGCCCAACCCGTTCCTGCTCCTCGCACTAAGTTAGTGGTGCGTGTTCCCAGTCCGGCCCGACCCGTTCCTGCTCCCCGCACTAAGTTAGTGGTGCGTGTTCCCAGTACGGCCCAACCCGTTCCTGCTCCCCGCACTAAGTTAGTGGTGCGTGTTCCCAGTACAGCCCAACCCGTTCCTGCTCCCTGCACTAAGATAGTGGTGCGTGTTCCCAGTACGGCCCAACCCGTTCCTGCTCCCCGCACTAAGTTAGTGGTGCGTGTTCCCAGCCCGATCCGTTCCTGTCCCTCGCACTTAGCCAGTGGTGCGCGTCGCCAGCCCGGTCCGGCCTGTTCCTGCCCCTCGCACCAAGCCTGTGGTGCGCGTCGCCAGCCCGGCCCGGCCTGTTCCCAACCCTCGCACCAAGCCTGTGGTGTGCGTCGCCAGTCGGCCCGGCCTGTTCCTGTCCCTCGCACCAAGCCTGTGGTGCGCGTCGCCAGCCCGGCCCGGCCTGTTCCTGCTCCCCGCACCAAGCCTGTGGTGCGCTTCGTCAGCCCGGTCCGGCCTGTTCCTGCTCCCTGCACCAAGCCAGTGGTGCGCGTCGTCAGCCCGGTCCGGCCCGTTCCTGCTCCCCGCACCAAGCCAGTGGTGCGCGTCGTCAGCCCGGTCCAGCCCATTCCTGCTCCCCGCACCAAGCCAGTGGTGCGTGTCGTCAGTCCGGCACAGCCCGTGCCTGTTCCACCGGTGCCTGGTCAGGTACCGGTCAGCTGCTCCACACCGGAGCCTAAGCAATCCTCTCCACCGATGTCCAGTCCAGCTCCAGCCAGCTGGGCCAGACCAGACCAGGGGTGCTACGGGGGATGGCTAGAGAGTGGTGGTCACGCCCGGAGCCGGATCCGCCTCCGAGGCGGAATGCCCACCCGGCCCCTCCCCTGTTGGGTTTAGTTGGCGCGGTCGCAGTCCGCGCCTTTGGGGGGGGGTACTGTCACGCCCTGGCTCTGGGGACTCTTATATGTTGAGCCAGGGTGTTAGTTTCTATGTTTAGTGTTCTATGTTCATGTTCTAGTTCATGTGTTTCTATGTTGGCCGGGTTGGTTCCCAATCAGAGGCAGCTGTGGCTTGTTTTCTCTGATTGGGAACCATACTTAGGCAGCCTGTTTTGCACTTGTCATTTGTGGGATCTTGTTCCGAAGAGGTTTGTGTTTGTTAACCTTAGGACTTCACGTATCAATTATGTAACACCTCCCCTTGACTTAAGAAACGGCACACAACAAAAAGTTATGTACACACCCACATGCACACACAGTGTTTTTGTAAGGGGGCTGTATATCCTGTTGTCACTGTGGGCCTCAGAGCACAGTAGTACAGAGCAGAGTCAGACAACTGCAACCCCTGGATCGTCAAAGGGACTGATTGTGTCTTGGCATTTAGACTTGCATTGAATCTCTCCTTGAACCCTGCAGCAGTGTCTTCAGATCCATAAGAATAACGGCTCAGCATATATTTAGGGAAGTAATTTGCTTCTTGTTTGTACCAATATAGATATACATTATTAGCACTGGTGTTATATTGACAACTCAGTGTTACCAGTCCTCCTTCTGTAGCAATCACACCTCCTGGTTGCTGTTGAACATGGTCTCCTGAGCACTCTGGAAGACAAAAAAATATAAAGTGAGTGATAATGAAAGATTAAAAAAAGAAAAATTAGATAGATGACGAAATGGTTCCATCTTACCGAAGCACAGTACAGCAAGAACCAGCCAGATGATCAGACAGAGTACCATGGTTTTGCAGAACACACAGAGAGTGACTGTGAGTTACAGTAAGAGGTAGAGATCCTCTCTCTCTCTTCCATGTCCATCTCAGCCTGTATATCACCATCAAGTGACAGACATGAAGGAGGAGCCTGTTCAGAGAGAGGAAAGATTGTAAAGAAATGTATGGGTCAATATTACCTCGTCAGTATTATATTACAACTCTTTGCCGTACATTAGAGACGAAGTGAAACGCCTACGTCTATCTAAAATAATATGGTAGGTATTGACAATATAATAATAATAATATAATATGCCATTTAGCAGACGCTTTTATCCAAAGCGACTTACAGTCATGCGTGCATACATTTTTTTTTTTGTGTATGGGTGGTCCCGGGGATCGAACCCACTACCTTGGCGTTACAAGCGCCGTGCTCTACCAGCTGAGCTACAGAGGACCACGATGACATAAATATTGTATGAAGTGAGTATGATTAACTTGTTTTGAAAATAAATGTTTGAAAACATACAAATATTCAATTCATATTCTTCTACTGTATATGCGGGACCAACTAATTCATAATATGTCTCCTGTAATCATATGTACATTTTGAACAGGATCATTTCTGTAGCTCCTCCCTTTGACATAAAACCCATTCAATGATGGCTCTTAAAGAAGTTAGGTGGTGGTGATGAAGGTTTGGTTTACTAAATGACAGTAAAGATGGTATCAATGGCATTTAAATGAGAGAATATTTAGAACGTTAAGTCATATGACATTTCTGATATTCATGATATATTTACTTTATTTCCAAATATAAAATGTGGTCACTGGTAGTTGAACAAGCAAATAACTTTCATATTTAAATAAGGGAATATAATGGATGGGAGGTAAGATCTATTCAGACTCAGGTTCTAGGGGTCTCAGGTTAGATATAAGCACTCTTTGCAGTACATTAGCCAAAGTGAAAAGCTTACATCTAGCTCACAAGAAATGAAAAGTAGCTTAAAGCAATTGTCAATGACATAAATGTTCCATGAAGTGAGTATGATGAACATATATATTTATTTATTTTTTTGGGGGGGGGAACGTACACATACTCTATTATAATTCAGGTACAAACACTCATGTCTTGTACAGAGTATCTAATTCAGGTCTACTACTGTACATAAAGTATATTGAAATACATATAGTGCTTTGGTCCCAACTTTTCAGTGGTACCGTATGCATCTATGGACACATTTGAAACCTATAGTTTTTGTAAGGGGGCTGTATCTCCTGTTGTCACAGTGGACCTCAGAGCACAGTAGTACACAGCAGAGTCAGACAGCTGCACCCTCTGGATCATCAAGGGGACTGATTTTGCTGTGAAATTTAGACGGGCATCAAATCTGTCCTTGAACTCAGTAGCAGCTTCCCCAGGTGAAAATGTATCCCTTCTCAGCATAAATATGGGCTTGCCATTTGCTTGTTGTGTGTACCAAAAGAGATATGTTGATTGATCAGTTGTAATGAATAGACAAGTGAGTGTTGTTGGTTGTCCTTCTAAGACCATTACATCTTCTGTTGGCTGTGTTACATTCTATTCTGCTCTGCACCCTGAAAAGAAAGATAAATATATCTTCACAACATATAATAATAATGTATATAAATAAAATGAACAAATGCACAGAAAGAGACAGATGAACAGAGTGATGTTATAACAAAGCAGCATGCAGCCAGAACATACAGGATCAGCCAGTTTCTCATGACTAGTCAGTCAGTTTGAAGTGTAAAAGGTAAGGAGCAGAACAATGCTGATCTATCTATCACAGAGCTTTGACACCCTCTGTCCTACTGTTGATGCTTCATGTTGTTCTGTATTACATGCAGTAGTAGACTATGGGGAGGTGTCTGTCTGTATGGCATCCTCTGATTCAGGTGTGTGTTCTTTGTTAGGTTGCCCCCTCAGGTTGACTGTCATACTACACCACCAAGCAGTGTGAATTGTGAGGAGTAACTACAAACGATAATATTTTTGCACTTTGTCATATTCCCAAGTGCTTTTCCACCGATATCAAAATATCTGTCTAAGTGGAATTCAAGACTACTGATATGAAGACAGAGAAACACTAGACCTCCTGGTGATTGCACACAGCACTGGTGTGACCACATTCTCTGATCTCAACCTCTGACATTAGGATATCAAAGTGTGGTTTGATGTTACATTTTTATCCCTGCTTCATCACAGCATTTTTGGTCTGAAGGTTTTTGTATAGGGTCTTATACACTTTTTATCACTGGGTATATTCCCTGAGAGCACAGTAGTAGAGATCTGTGTCTGCCAGGGTTAGAATTGTTATGACCAGTTCAGTTGATGTCCGAGACGTTGTGGATGTATATCTCTTATCAGGGACATGTTCACTACCGCTCTGTGATATAGCACCTTTATACAGTAGAAACTGAGGAGCCTGGTTAGGATATTGCCGGTACAAGTAAAGGTCAATATTATTCCTGTTTATTTTGTTCTGCAGGTTTTTGTACAGGGTCTTATATGTATCACTGGTTATAACAATCCCTGAGAGCACAGTAGTAGAGAGATGAGTCTGCCAGGGTTAGGTGTGTTATGATCAGTTCAGTTGATGTCCGGGACGTTGCGGATCTATATTTCTTATCAGGGATATGTTCACTACGGCTCTGTGATATGGCAGCTTTATACACAGCCTGGTGTCATAGACTAGACGTAACATAGTACATGTAAATCCGGGACAGTCAAATAAGTATGGTATGTTATGTTTGGTATGGTTACATAAGACAGATGGTTACTTAAGGCAATAACAAAAGTAGGGTGGTTAGTCGGGGTGGATGGTTGGGCGTATAACGTGAACGTCTAACAACCCTAAAGTAGTGAGTTCAAATCACATCATGGACAATTTAAGCATTTTAGCTAATTAGATAATTTTCTACTACTACTACTTTTTAGGTATTTTGCAACGACTTAGAATGTTAGCTAACCCTTCCCCTAACCCTTACCTTATCCCTATAACCTAATTCCTTAACTTAACCCTAATCTTAACCCTAACCCCTAACCCTAACCTAGCTAGCCACCTAACTAGAATTCGTAACATATCATACGTTTTGCAAATTCGTAACATATAATACAAATTATAATTCATAACATATCATACAAAATTGGGTGTCTCAGATTTACATACAGAATAATATGAAATGATCTGAGACCAGGTTGTTATACAGCAGAAACTGAGGGGCCTGGTTAGATAATGCAGGTACCAGTAAAGGTAAACATAATTGCAGTTCAGCGTCACAGGTTTTCCCTATGTACTGATTATTTCATTATTTACAGCATTAATGTGATCCCCAGCAATCTGTCCTGTAAAGATAATTTAGAAACAAAATCAATAGACAGTAGTTTAAAAAAGTAATTACCATCAACAATACAGGCTCATTTACAAAATGTTGTAAGGCTCACCTGTACAAAATGTAGAGAACATCCAGATTAAACCAAATAACATCATCATTCTACTACTATATGCTGGACCAACTAATTCACATAAATATGTATCCTGTAATCATATGTACAGTTTGAATAGGATCATTCCTTTAGATCCTCCCTTTGACATAAAACCAATTCAATGATGGCTCTTAATGAAGTGTGGTGGTGGTGATGAAGGTTTGGTTTACTAAATGACAGTAAAGATGGCATCAATGGCATTTATATGAGAGACTGTTTAGAATGTTTAGTCAGATGAAAATATTCTGATTTTCATGACATATTTATTTCATTTCCAAATTAAAAGTCTGTTCACTGGTAGTTGAACAAGCAAATAACTTTCATATTAAAAGAAGGGAATATAATGGATGGAAGATAAGATCTATTCAGACTCAGGTTCTATGGTTTCTAGGGGTCACAGATTCAAGTTCTCTGTGTTTGTATTGTCAAGATAGGTTTTTGTACAGTTTTCTGGGGTTTCCTGTCACTGTGGGCTTCAGACCACAGTAGTACAGAGCAGAGTCTGTCACTTCAGCAGAGGAGATTTCCAGATCCACACGGTTGTCCTCCTTTTCATGTGTGAGGGTCCATTTTGTACTATCAGTGTTGGTTATGAACCCAGAGTAGTCCAGTATGAGGAACTGTGGAGAGAATCCAGGGTGCTGGCGATACCATAACAGACTGTTGGTTAATGAGCTGTTGTATCTACAGGAGAGTTTAACACTACTACCCTCCATAACATCCACTACATCTCTGTCTGGAGTAATTATGTCTTCAACACTTGCACCTGTAAAAAATAACAACATGGATTACAGAGTCAATGTAGACAGCGTACAGTATATCCACACTTGGTGTTTCAAAGTGTATTAGCACTTGATATTGATAATACCATATTGTAATGAACACTGAACAGTGTACATTCTGTTAGTACACATTCAGTTAAAGGAGAGTGAATTCTTACCTACAAGTACACACAAAAACAAGCAGCATCATAGCCACTGGGTGTTAGACAGAGACTCATTTCTAAATTGAAATAAAAATGTATTGTTGTAACTTTCAAAACAGAATACATGACACTACTTTGAAAGCATTATATAACTTACCTATTGCTGAGAACATTATAATTGACCAGATGAACAACATAGCTGGGGATGGAAGTCAAACTGACTAATTTCACAACAGAAGCTGAATACTCCAAACCAACTTCATCTGCAAGGTTTTCAGTTGATCATTTCTGCTTAGTTTACCTACAAGCTCCACCCCAAAGTACAGTTGCTCTAAATATACTCAATCTCTGCTTTCTTTCCCTCTCCTCTACACTCCTCTGTCCCATTGACATATATCTCCTCTCCTCCTCTCTCATCTCCTCTCCTCTCCTCCTCTCTCATCTCATCTGCTCTCCTCTCATTTCTCTTCTCCTCCTCTCTCTTCTCGGAAGTTTACATACACTTAGGTTGAAGTCATTAAAACTCTTTTTTCAACCATTCCACCAATGTTTTGTTAACCAACTATAGTTTTGGCAAGTCGGTTAGGACATCTACTTTGTACATGACACAAGTCATTTTTCCAACAATTGTTTACAGACAGATTATTTCACTTATAAATAACTGTATAACAATTCCAGTGGGTCAGAAGTTTACTTACACTAAGTTGACTGTGCCTTTAAACAGCTTGGAAAACTCCAGAAAATGATGTCATGGCTTTAGAAGCTTCTGATAGGCTAATTGACATAATTTGAGTCAATTGGAGGTGTACTTGTGGATGTATTTCAAGGCCTACCTTCAAACTCAGTGCCTCTTTGCTTGACATCATGGGAAAATCTAAAGAAATCAGCCAAGACCTCAGAAAAAAATGGTATACCTCCACAAGTCTGGTTCATCCTTGGGAGCAATTTCCAAATGCCTGAAGGTACCACGTTCATCTGTACAAACTATAGTATGCAAGTATAAACACCATGGGACCACGCAGCCGTCATACCGCTCAGGAAGGAGACGCATTCTGTCTCCTAGAGATGAACGTACTTTGGTGCAAAAAGTGCAAATCAATCCCAGAACAACAGCAAAGGACCTTGTGAAGATGCTGGAGGAAACAGGTACAAAAGTATCTATATCCACAGTAAAAATAGTCCTATATCGACATAACCTGAAAGGCCTCTCAGCAACGAAGAAGCCACTGCTCCAAAACCGCCATAAAAAAGCCAGACTACGGTTTGCAATTGCACATGGGGACAAAAATCGTACTTTTTGGAGAAATGTCCTCTGGTCTGATGAAACAAAAATAGAACTGTTTGGCCATAATGACCATCGTTATGTTTGGAGGAAAATGGGGGAGCTTGCAAGCCGAAGAACACCATCCCAACCATGAAGCACGGGTGGCATCATCATGCTGTGGGGATGCTTTGCTGCAGGGGGGACTGGTGCACTTCACAAAATAGATGGCATCATGAGGAAGGAAAATTATGTGGATATATTGAAGCAACATCTCAAGACATCAGTCAGGAAGTTAAAGCTTGGTCGCAAATGGGTCTTCCAAATGGACAATGACCCCAACCACACTTCCAAAGTTGTGGAAAAATGGCTTAAGAACAACAAAGTCAAGGTATTGGAGTGGCCATCACAAAGCCCTGACCTCAATCCTATAGAAAATGTGTGGGCAGAAATGAAAAAGCATGTGCAAGCAAGGAGGCCTACAAACCTGATTCAGTTACACCAGCTCTGTCAGGAGGAATGGGCAAAAATTCACCCAACTTATTGTGGGAAGCTTGTTTAAGGCTACCCGAATAGTTTGACCCAAGTTAAACAATTTAAAGGCAATGCTACCAAATACTAATTGAGTGTATGCAAACTTCTGACCCACTGGGAATGTGATGAAAGAAATAAAAGCTTAAATAAATCATGCTCTCTACTATTATTCTGACATTTCACATTCTTAAAATAAAGTGGTGATCCTAACTGACCTAAAACAGGGCATTTTTACTAGGATTAAATGTCAGGAATTTAAATGTATAAAGAGTTTAAATGTATTTGGCTAAGGTGTATGTAAACTTCCGACTTCAACTGTATGTCCTCTCTTCAGTGATACAGAATCTCTCAATCCTTCCACTGGGTTGTGTAGGAGGTAGATTCCCTCCATTATTGTATGAATCAAATATGAAAGGTTGTAATCCTGAGTTGGAACTGCCAGATAATAAAAAGATCTGAAACAGTTGACAACAAGGATTTTTATCCCCTGCTTCTGTACAGTTCTTGTACAGTGTTTCCGGGTAAACTGTCACTGTGGGTTGCAGAGCACAGTAGTACAGAGTAGAGTTTGTCCCTTCATCAGAGGAGATCGCCAGATCCACACGTTCAGCCACTTTGCCAACGTTAACTGACAGTCAGGGATATGGGCGTTCTGCAGTAACTATTGTCTCAGCAGATGATGAATACACTGAAATGAGGAGGAGCAGATGTGGGATATTGGTGATGCCATAAGACACTGTCTCCAACAGATACTGTGTAGTTGCAGGAAAGCTTGACACTGACAACATGTATCACATCCTCCTCAAGACTGTAGGAGAAAATTCCATCCCCAGAACTATCACCTGCAGAAAACTAACATGTGAAATAAAAGTTATATTTGTCCGGTCAAAGCTTGTGTGTTGTTTTTCCAAGCTTGTAATGAAGTAATTACACATGATCATTACTGTTAAATGTATTGTACTTACCCACAAATGTTAAAAAGAACACAACACATTTTTCAGAGAATCTTCTGAAGTGAATGAATATCAGAAAGAAAAATGCCTTTTCAAATATTCTTTAGTTTTTATGTAATACACGTTTCCTCTATTATGCTAAATATGTGTTAACTTACTCTAACAACAGGTGTAACAAAACGCTCCCTAAAACACTTTAGCGAGCAGGCCTTTCTAATTGACCTGGCCCGGGTATCCTGGATGGATATTGACCTCATTCCGTCAGTAGGGGATGCCTGGTTGTTCTTTAAAAGTGCTTTCCTCTCAATCTTAAATAAGCATGCCCCATTCAAAAAATGCAGAACTAAGAACAGATATAGCCCCTGGTTCTCCTCAGACTTAACTGCCCTTGACCAGCACAAAAACATCCTGTGGCGTACTGCATTAGCATTGAATAGCCCCGGCGATATGCAACTTTTCAGGGAAGTCAGGAACCAATATACACAATCAGTTAGGAAAGCAAAGGCTAGCTTTTTGAAACAGAAATTTGCATCCTGTAGCACTAACTCCAAAAAGTTTTGGGACACTGTAAAGTCCATGGAAAATAAGAGCACCTCCTCCCAACTGCCCACTGCACTGTGGCTAGGAAACACTGTCACCACCGATAAATCTACAATAATCGAGAATTTCAACAAGCATTTTGCCACGGCTGGCCATGCTTTCCACCTGGCTACCACTACCCCGGCCACCAGCTCTGCACCCTCCGCTGCAACTTGCCCATGCTACCGATCCTTGACTTCGGCGATGTCATTTACAAAATAGCCTCCAACACTCTACTCAGCAAATTGGATGTAGTCTATCACAGTGCCATCCGTTTTGTCACCAAAGCCCCATATACTACCCACCATTGTGAACAGTACGCTCTTGTTGGCTGGCCCTCACTACATATTCGTCGCCAAACCCACTGGCTCCAGGTCATCTATAAATCACTGCTAGGCAAATCCCCGTCTTACCTTAGTTCACTGGTCACCATAGCAACACCCACCCATAGTCAGCGCTCCAGCAGGTATATCTCACTGGTCATCCCCAAAGCCAACACCTCCTTTGGCCACCATTCCTTCCAGTTCTCTGCTGCCAATGCCTGGAACGAACAGCAAAAATCTCTGAAGCTGGAGACTCTTATCTCTCTCACTAACTTTAAGCGTAAGTTGTCAGAGCAGCTTACCGATCACTGCACCTGTACACAGCCATTCTGAAATTAGCTGACCCAACTACCTCATCCCATATTGTTATTTATTTTGCTAATTTGCACCCCAGTATCTCCATTTGCACATCATCTTTTGCACATCTATCATTCCAGTGTTAATACGAAATTTTAACTATTTTGCACTATGGCCTATTTATTGCCTTACCTCCATAACTTACTACATTCGCACACACTGTATATATATCTTCTGTTTGTATTTTTGACTTTTGTTTACCCCATATGTAACTCTGTGTTGTTGTTTTTATCGCACTGCTTTGCTTTATCTTGGCCAGGTCGCAGTTGTAAATGAGAACTTGTTCTCAACTGGCTTACCTGGTTAAATAAAGGTGAAATAAAAAATTTAATTAAAAAAACGCAATAATCTAATCTACAGACCTCTGTTGCCTGATAATGATCTGTGGTCAGTAAATGACTAACAGGCTCATCTAAAACAAGTCATTTATCAGTGTACTAAGTTTGTACATCCTCTCAGAGACTCTGTATCACCGGGCCTCCTTCCGGGCACAGTAGTAGAGAGCTGTGTCTGCCAGAGTTACTTTTTTTATCATGAGTGTAGTTGAAGTTTGGGACATTGTAGATTCAAATGGATGATTAGAGATATGGTCAACACTATTTTCTCTGGCACCTTTATACAGTAGTTACTGAGGTGCCTGGTTAGGGTATTGTTGGTACCAGTAAAGGTATATGTTACTGCTGCTTGTTTCATATGTACATCTCAGAGTCACTGATGATCCCACAGTGGGGGTGTACTCCTCCTTGTCAGGAGTCACACTATCTCCAAATACCATTCCTGCAGAGGAAAAATAGATTGATTGATTGAAAACACATGCTTATTTTTTAAGACTTTTTAGAAATCAACTTAGTTATTCACATTTAAATGACTTTACTTCAACAAAATATGTTTTACTACTGTCGTTTTAATTCACCACTAAGGACTCAAACTCAATGTAAATTAATCAATCTTTATTATAACGGCCGGAGAGGTTCACAAACTCAATCCAAGCTTGATGAAAACTCTGAATAGGGCATTCCCTTTCAGTCTTCTTACACTGCTACACCAAGTTATAGAAGCATGATTTACATTATTTATTTCTCATAATTAATGTTGTTTCCTGCACGTGACTGACTGACACCTCATACGGTTTCTTCTCTCAAAGCTGGGACCTTGAAACATATACTCCTTTTGGTTCCCAGAACCATGTT